GTGATGGGAACAACATTAACAGTACACAGGTAAATCATCCATTAAGTTATTGTTATTATGTCTCTGAACACACAACAATGGCTTGCATTTGTGTCCACAGAGATCAGGTGCTTATATATTCCGTCCGAACAGTTCAGCAACATTCCCTGTTGGCAGTGATAATAATAATAATGCTGAAATGACTTCCATTATGGTATAAAGCAAGGAATATTAAAATGGAAAATACTAGTATTATGATTTTATGTATATCTATAGGGTGATTTGTTGTCTGAGGTTAGGCAGGTTTTCTCCCCATGGGTATCTCAAGTTAGCAATAAAGCATTAGTTTATTTCATGACTCATACTGTTAGGTTGTTAGATTGTATGAGAATAGACCAGCAGTTGAGCTAGAGTACACTGTAGGACCGATACCAATAAAGTATAATCATTGCTGTGAACATTATCAACTATCGTATTATTAATGATACTGTTATCATATTAGAGATGGATTGGGTAAAGAGATAATATCACATTTCACAACTGACCTTAAGAGTGACTCCACATTCTATACTGATTCCAATGGAAGAGATATGCAAAAGAGAGTGTAAGTACTTCACAATATAACATTTCTATACTACCTTACAGGAGGAATTATCGGCCTACGTGGAAGTATAACAATACAGAACCAATAGCAGGAAACTATTATCCAGTTAATAGCAGAATATACATAAGAGTTAGTTAATTGAAGTGTAGTCATTATTAATTCTGTTATGTATTAGGACGAAAAGAAAGGGATTCAGTTTACTGTACTCAATGATAGATCACAAGGAGGATCTAGTATCACTGATGGATCTGTAGAACTGATGGTAAGTGAATAGTGTACTTTATTTAATAGTGTGTGTACTAATTGTAGCAAATTTGACAAGGGATATCTTTGAAATAAAGGGACATATTAATAAAATTATAAAAATTAATAAAAATTAGTAGAGCCAAACCCCCAATACAATAAGTAGACTAGTACACAGATACATGAAATATCATTTCAGCTATCCACATGTATGCTACCATTAAAGGTTCATAGGAGGCTCCTGTATGATGATAAACGAGGGGTAGGTGAGCCTTTGGATGAGCTAGGAGTGAATGGAAAGGGTTTGATTATTAGAGGGAAGCATCTACTGATACTTGATACAATTGATGACTCAGCGTATACTCAGAGAATGATGGCTGAAGAATTAATGATGACACCAGAGCTCTCCTTCACTTTAAATAATGGACTGCAGTTAGAGCATTATAATCTAATGGTAATGACTTACATTTGTTATTATAATAATAATAATATTATTATTATTTTTATATTTGTTATTATTATTCTTTTTAGTACAATGGATTGTCTATTCCTCTTCCTGATAATGTTCATTTACTGACTCTTGAACATTTGGATCAGTCTACAATTCTCCTTCGTTTGGATCATCAGTTTGAATCAACTGATCCTGAGAAATGGTCAACTACTGCTAATGTTAAACTAAAAGTACATTATCTACTAGTACAATCATTGATTGTTGTAATCATTATCATTCCTAGGATCTGTTTGTTGCATTTGAAATCAAAGAAGTAACAGAGCTAGGTTTAGGAGGTAACTTAGCTTTATCTGATATAAAGAAACTGCAATGGCAGACAACAGACAATGAAACTGGTATGTCCCCAATGCTGTATACTGTATGTTAGTGGTAATGATAATAATGTGTTCTGTAGTTCCTGGTCCTTTTAATTTCCCTCCTGTGACTGGTCCTGATTTTATTGTCTCATTGTCTCCAATGATGATACGTACATTTAACATTACCATTGAAACCAGAAACTGACATAACACTTCTCTTCCTGTACACTATGCAGTGTTGCTTTTATACATTTGGCCTCATTTTGATGCTGTTTAATTTGCTGTAAATGAATACATTAACATTTTGTTTTGCTATATAACAGGTACATGTACCTCATTGCACATGCACACATTGGATTGCTATGACTTTGAGCTGTAATACCCCAATGTATGAGAGCATTGGCATGGGAAAGTATCCATAATCATTATCAAGAATCTCTATGTTAAAATAACTAGGTGGACCCAACAAAATAAGGACTTGGCAAAGGTTGCACAGCTAGCTAGATGCTACAAGCATCCTGTCAGTGTGAGTATTGTGGTGTGGATATACATGTTTATTTTGTATGTCCTATTCTGATTTGCTTCTCACCAATAGCTAAAAGCACAGCATAGCATACATAACATTAGATTTTTTACAATATGTATAATTTTAATTTAGGTAAAATAAAAAATGCACAGATGTCAGTTATAGTGGTTATCTATTCCTAGAATAACCTTCAGACCACAATGGGAAGGATCTTGCCAGTCAGTACCTTATTTGGTCAAAATAAGGATCAGCTTGATCCTATAAACTTGAAATATATTTTGAGTACTTCTCAGTCTCAGTTTTATCTGTTTGCTACCCAGGCCTTCTCTACCTGAGCAAGTCAAAATTCCTATTTAAAAGTGCTCTTCTAAAAAGTGTGTCGTATTTCATTTCAATTCTCTAATTCTGTCAATAATAGTAAGAATTGATATTATTATGTATACAGTATTATCAAAATGATGTCTTGCTAGAATTATTACCAGTGGCTGCATTACCAAGGAGCCTGTAAAGAGGGTATAATCACATTATTATGACTACAGTACGTCAACCTTTTTTTATTTTTACCAAAAATAGGATACAAGTTATTTAATACCTATACATTATGTGCATGAGAATAATTTTGTTATGTAAATTTTACTTTTTATAGAAAATTTGCATTTTTGTAAAAGTTATTGGTGTACGATCTCCCAAAGAATACACATGGGAATGGAATACATCTACTTCAGAGTCACTAAATCTATATAAATTTGTTCGTTTAAACTTAATACATAAAAAACGTATACATCAAAAAGATACTATGCATCTTTGGCATAAAGATGAGAAAATTCTCAATGGAGAAAGCCCATGTAGTAGTTATGAAAGGAACAGTAAGGATATAATAGAGTTGCACTTGATTGTTGTAACCAGACTCGGTAAGAAGACTCATTTAGTATTTTAGTGTATTATGACTTAGTTTTTGTGTTCAATTTTAGAAGTTAGCATTACACTCAAGATTAAATTTCAAAACAAAGAACTTAAAGACAAAATTCCGTTCAATGTAAAAGATACAATAGAAACTCTACTAAAATACTTTGGTCTGCTACCAGAAAAGGTTGTGAAATTAATGGAAGGAGATGAAGGTAAGCATGGTCATACAATCTTAATCCTACAATAGTTTATTATGTACTAAAAGAAGTCACACATGAAGAGTTAATAGTTGACACTCCTTTCTACAAAGGATTAATAATTGGTAAGCTTATTCATAGAAGAACTCAATCTTATAATAGCTTTACTAGAATATGATGACGAACCACCACGGAAATGTAAAATCATAATGATGCAAGATACTATTGGTCGTCCAAGTGATTATGGAAAGGATCCAAAGGAAACAAAGACAAGAAAAGAAAAACTCCAAAAAGAAGGCACACCAATCTGTGATCATCGTGATGATGTTATTGGCGATGACATCACGTTATATTACCCAGGGTTCCAGAAATTCATTGAAGATTCTAATGATGCTAGCATTGTGCTGGAAAGAGAAGATTACGAATTCGCAAAACGAATGTGCACTGAAATGTCAAAGTATTTTAATACTGAAGAACCTCGACATAATGAGTTTTTCAAAATATTGAGTCTGAAATTCAAAACGTTAAAAGGTGAACTTGTCCATGAAAATAAAGGGTATAAGGTGGATATATCAATTGGTACAGAATGTTACATACTCATTGAGGTTAAGAATGAGAGTGGCGATAGCTATGCACAAGTCATTGGGTATTATGTACAATCTTTAAAAGGTAAATATCCAGATCAATGTCCAGCCCCAGCTTATCTCCTAGAATTAGTCGGTCCACAGTTATCCATATCAGGTGCTGTGTTTGGCAAATACGTATTTGTTGATAGGCTAGTCGATTCTGTTTGGCTCGTACCTCATCAAAACGAAGAAGCAACCATCAGGGTTGCTAGAATACTCAAAGCTTTAAAAGATGCCATTAGAGAAATACAGGCCTATTATAAAAATAATACTAGAATAGATAACCCAGAATTTCCTGTCTTTCAATCATGCGATAAAGGTAGCATTCAATATAAGGAAAGAATGAAGAGGCACATCTTTAAAGGTACCCTCACATATAACAATGGTGAAGAGGTTGATGTAATCATCAAGTTTACAAAGCGATACTGCCGTGAAGCACATGCTCTAATGTACAAAGAAGGATGTGCACCTCAACTAATCCACTATGAAGAGAGAGTAGGAGGAACTCAATACACAGCAGTTGTCATTGAATACATTGATGGAATTATGCATCTTGATGAATACTTAAAAGAATATCCAGATAATAAAAGCGAACCTGAACCTTTTCAAGATGCACTAAAGGTATTGCATGATCATGGATTCTGTCATGGCAAACTAACTTCAAATAACATTTTCATGGAATTTAAAGATGGCAAAGATTATATCAACATAGTTAATTATGAGTGGGCAGGAAGGATAGGAGAAGCAAGGTACCCATTTTCAGCCGATATTCCAGACGGAATTGAACCTGGAGATCTTATCTCAAAAACATGGGACAGGGCACAACTAGATAAATTTTTTGATAGCACTGACTCTAGATAGAGCCTCTAGCTCAGCTAGCTCTACTAGTAGTCCTTAGTTACTAATTATTTTTCTTAGAATACATTTAGTATTATTATTGTCATTTTGTCATTTTAGGTATTTCACTATTTTTAATGAAATTTCTTTTCAATGATTTGTGAAAGTTTTGCTTACAATTAAAAATAATATTTTAACTTTCCAATCACTGCAAGACGCGATACATCATACATGAGCATGTACATGTGTGTGTACACGTGTGTTGTAAAAGTACTTCTATACTTTTGAATGTACTGAATGATAAAATTCCATTAACCAGAAATATAATTAAATCAATCCACAAAATTAATAGATAATAACCACAAATTTATTGCACATGATAGCGACAATATGACAATGATTAGCAACAATAAATTAAACTTGTCTGTTAATTTAAAGTCAGGCAGCTGCTACCCATGGATAACTAAATTGCTGCTTTGAGTTTTTCTTGACCCAAAACTTCTTTTTCTCTTTTGTCCTTTGATTCTGACACCAAACCTCAATAGCATACTTATCTTTCCACTGATTGACAAACTGTGTACATGATATATAAGGAAGAGAGAGAGAGGGAGGGAGAGCATAAACTCAGGATTTATTATAGGATTTTTGCATAGTGCTCAGCTTCTTTTCAGTAAATTTTTTAAGCTGTTTGAAAATTTGGCAAAACACCAAGTACAGGATGTTTTGTCAAAATGAAAAGGAGAGTATTCCAATTCTTGTGTGGAAAGTTTGAGCTGATTCAGATCAAATTTGGATTTTTCTATGAATTTTAAAAGTTGCTCCATAAGTCCATTTATAGATGCTACACTGTACATTAGTTAGGCTAAAGGACATACATGTACAGTACACAGTACAGTACATGCATGATAACAGTACAGTGCACCCAATACCTTAGGGTCCCATAGTTCACTGGATATCCCCAGATCCTTACAGCACCTCCTCAATGCACTGGACTTAGCTGACTCACAAGCATTACCATACTGCTGGTTAGTCTTCCCAAAGAAGGTGTGCTCACCTAGCGACTGAGACACAAACCTTCCCTCACAATAAAGAGCATATTCCCTAGCTACCATTTGGGCACCATCAGACTCACCCTAACCAGAGGAAAAGGTGAATATTAAGTTAATCTATTCCCTATCTTTAATTTCTACACAGTACTTCTATTAGAGGTACCTCCTATACTTTATATAGGATTATATTTTCTTAGTATGTAGCCCCAAAACTTATAATTGATACAAGCTTTCATTTGATAAGTGGCAATTAAAAGATGATGAAATTAAAAGAATAAAAAGGTAAAATGCTGCAAAATACAGATTACTTAACTCACTTGATAAATGATTTCACCTCGTGGCATTAAGCCCCACCCCCCAGGACCAAAGGATTGATTGAGAATACGACGATACATTATTTCAGGTAAATATATCAAACCTAACACAAAAATAAAACGTAACGAAATCTCACACACAGCACTACTTTCCAACCATGCTATACTACATTATGATTCATGTACATTATGTAGAGTCGTGTGTAGTGTATTACCATCTGGTTTAATCTCTATGTCTTCTTCATTGACAGGTGCTAGTAATTTGTCCGTTATTTCTTTTGAGAACTTTCTTAACGATAAGCCACTAAAAGAGCTATTATCTACTCCTGGCCTAATTAAAACAAAATCCTATAATATCAAAACTTCCTAAATCCCCAAAACATCAATAATAATTATAATAATTTTGTGAAAAGCATGCTATTAAAAATTAATTAAAATTATTATTACAATTCTGCTATTTCGTTAATCTCTTCAGTGGCACTTTCAGTAGTATAACTGCTAGCAGGTGTCCTCAATAATCCTCTGAATGAAGAGAAAACTAGTCGAGAAGATGAAGTTGCTCTGAACACGTGAACAGCCATGTCTAGTAGGTGTGGCTGATCACGCCCATCACCTATCCTATCAAAATGCGTGTACTCTTCTCCTTCTCATCTCGTTTATGCAGTAGAACCAGGCTCCCAACTAGAGGAGTATTATCTATAGCTCTCAGATCATTAAATGCATTACCACCATCAGCTCCTTCGCCTCCTATTTCCAAGTATGTCCGGTTTTTGACCACGCCCCAATCTTCACCCACTCCAGTCTATGTTGGTCCTCTCTCAAAGCCTATCCGACTCTTAAAGATATTTTCAATGACGACGGCAGCTCTCACCGTCTCTCTATCTCCAGTCCTCGTTTATTTTGGTAATCCTGCAACCCCATTGGTCGCCCGTGTTGCCATGTCAACCATTGTCCTAATGGCGGGCGTGTCCACTACCCTACTGCTCCACTGGTTTGTTAAGAGTTATATCACACGTATGTATTATGACAGGGGGAGTGGTCAAGTGAGAGCTTTCACTTTCGATATGATCGGCCGTGAGAAAGAAAGCATTTTCCATGTCTCTGAAACCGCACCTCCTACAAAAGCAACAAGCCTCAGTACATTCCAAGCTAAAGACCGGGTCTATTACCTTCACGCTAATATATTCGATGACATTGATTTGTTATTGAAGCTTGCAGGACCGGACGTGTTCTTTGGCGAATCACCCAGACACTAGCAGGTGGATATATTTGTCTATCGACCGTCGTATACAATAATGTTGTCAACATCCTTAACAATCATTATACTGTCGCATCAATTTGTAACAACTTATGATTAAAACAACAATCATACTAGTGCAAAAATATAACGACTGTTATGGCTTTAAAAATATTTGAGTAATTATAGTTTGATTAGTCGCCAGCAGTAATTAATTGTTTGTAATTATTGTAACAATCCTTCTTGAGAGTCTTCCATTCCATTCTTTCTTGCTTCATCTTCATTCATTGCTCTTCGATAATCACTGGAATACTTGTTACTCTTTCTCCTGCTTCCTTTCCAGCTTCCTCCTTTCCAACTGTCTTTCTTTCTACTGATACTTCCCTTTCTATGCTCTTCTCCACTGTATGAACTTGATCTCCCTCTTCCTTTTAAGCTCCCATCACTCCTTGAGCTACTCATTGTACTCAGCATTGGTTCATACTCACCAGATCCAGCCATGTCATTCAAAACATCGTCACTGCTGTCAGACTGCGGTGAGCCGTGCCTTTGATATCTCACAGTAAACTCATCACTACAGTGCATATACAGATAGTCAATTATAATTAATAATAAATAAATTATTTGTTTAAGTACAGAATGAAGTGCAGTGCATGCTAATGCTTACTCCATTTTGACTGCTTCTATACTTTTCAGGAAATCATCAGATATGCCTTTGTCTTTGCTGTTAGATCTAACTGTTAATGGAATGAGTAGAAAAGAATTGTCCATAGCATGTAGATCAGAGAGTAATCTACTTTAGATTGTGTCAGTAGATAAACAGGTAATGTAATAATGTTGACTGTCTGTCAGGCAGACATTACAAATATTTACAACAATGTTCAATTATGGATCGTAAAAGAGTGGGCTATTTAAATTGCTTTATAATTTTTTTGCATCATTTTTATTATTCATTGCATGATTGATGATGAACTCTGTACCAGTAGATCAAAGTACATAGTTCAGTAATTGCTAGATAATATGAGTTCTTACTTTTAGCCTTCTCTTCTATTTTTGGTGGTGGGAAATATTTTAATTTTTCCTCTTCCCAGTTGTCCCTCAAGAAAGCCAGCAGAACTATGCTTGACAGCATACGGGCAGGCAGTGAGAGGATTTCTTGTATGTATTGATGTAGCTTGGGAAGTCTTTGCAATGCAAGGTTTTTGGTGCTACGACGGAAGACCTGCTTCCCAGGGAGGAAAGGAATGATCCTCTCGCTTCCTTTTATGCTTCCTGACTCCTCGGGGAACGAGTCCAACAGCTGACAGTGGAAATCAAAGAAGTCCTGGTAGCCTCGGAATATGATTGATTCTGAGCCATCAGACCAGCCAAGATTCAATTCAAAGATAAATCGAGACCTTCCATTGTCTTCCCTCTCGTCTACAGACACCACAGACCCTGATACCAGTCTTGGGAGCTCAGCCACCGGCTCTACTTCACCCAGAGAAGCCATCCTGCATTCTTTTGCAAAGTGCCAGCCCCACCCATTTTATTCCCGAGCCCGGTTTGTTCTATTGCGCATGCCTGGTATTGAAGATAAGATTTTCGCGGGAAATCCAATAATCATGGCGGGCAGAGAACTGGAAAGTACAGTTGTTTTTTCTTTTCTGTTCATTTATTTGTAATAGGATTTATGCGAGAGAGAAAAAGAGCATACGATAAGAATAATCTAAAAGAGGCTGCCTCCATATGTAACAATATAGGCCTCTACTACAGTCAGATTGGTCAGTGACCACACCTCCTCTTAATTAACCCTATCACTCAATAGGTAATCACCACAAGGCGTTAAAGTATCATATCGAAGAGTGTCAACTCTCGGAGAGTATTAATGATAAACTGGGCGTGGCAGTTGGTCATCGTAAAGTGGGGGAGTGTCTTGCTGAGCTCGGCAGGTTTTCCGAGTCTCTGAAAGAAGAGGAACAGTATCTCAATTTAGCGGAAGACCTACAGAGTGGAGAAGAGATACAAAGAGCTTATGCTACTATCGGGAAAATATGGTTAGTTAAAATTACTGATAGAATCAAATTTTGTGCTTTAAAAAATTGATATGATTAAGTCACAAAATTTGATGCCCGCCAAAATCTCTAGCAATTTACATGTACATGTATTTTATGAATTAGGTACGAGAGGTACAAAGAAGGTGATGGGGAGGAGTCAGTAGGCGTGGCCAAATACTTAGACAAAGCCAGTCAGGCATATATACTAGCCCTCAAAGCTTGTGATGGTTTAGTGGGCGTGGTCACTGAGAAAGAACTTCAAGAAATGAAAGGACGACTTTATCTTAACTTGGGCCTTGTAGCTGAGGATAATAAAGACTTGGAATCTGCTGAAAAGCATTACGAAGAAGCTTGTTCTTTATCAAAGTGGGTGTGGTCAATCAAATATTTAACTCTTTTTTTTAGGAAGTGCGACTGTCATAAACTTACTTGGCAAAGTTTGTTTAATTTAGCCGGTATTCTAATTAGTGCCCGTACACCGAACCGTGCTCTTGTTGTACTAGAGGAGAGTCTGAGGTTTTCTGAAAAGAGCAAAATCAAACACGATAGATCGGTGACACTCTTTCAGATTGCCATGGTAACTAATAATCATTCCATTTTATAAGTGATAGATATACATGTTCTTGTCCACCAGGTGTACATTAAGCTTGTTGATTTCCAAAATGCAAAGAAATATATGAAATTAACATTAAAAGCATCAGATGAGGATTGGCCTGATGATGAATACCAGCAACTAATAAAGAAATATAAGCTGGGTCAGTCTTATTATTAATAGTAACAAGATTATCTACTCTTGATAATAAGAACTAGAAGAATGTAAAGCATTACCTGGGTTTTGTCCTTCATTAGATGTTCATGTATAAACAAACAACGCTCCTTTGCCAGTAATGGCTTCACCCAAATAATGATAATAAGCTATATTAAATTAACAATCATCATTGTTAGCGTGGTATGTGTTTATTTATTTTATTCTTTTTAGTTAATAAGATATTATCGCTCAGTCAGTCAGTTACTGGTGAAGGAGTTTATGATGACGTGAGGGAGAAGATTAAAGTGTATGATAGACTAGGGGACATGTGTGCCAATAAAGAGTATCAGTTTTATGAAGCAGCTGTCAAATTTTATCAGAAAGAGGTGACTTTTACTTCTCTTTTGGGTTAAAATTTTAAATTTAAAATGCTCTTTCTCTCTCCAGCTGCATTTGGCTGAGGTACATGGTTTTGAAATGAAGGATATCTCAAGGATATATTTCTCAATAGCGGAGACGTATTGCGACAATGGACAGTACAAAGAGTCTCTTGAATATCATCAGAAAGAGCTACAAATGTGGCAAAGTCACCCATCTGAAGTGAGCGATGATGTCACGTGATGTAAAGTGATGTAATAATGAGTGTGTCATTTGCAGGAAGCCTGTAGCTGGGCTAACATGGCTAGAGTGTATGAATCTTCTAATGATGTGAAGAAAGCAATGCAGGCGTATCACACTGCAATCGAGCTAGCATCATCTGTCAATGATTATAAATCACTAGTGAGTATGTGAAACGTATTTATTTTATATTTTCTTATTTTTCATCAGATAGATACTTATGATTCGTTAGTATCATATTGTACTAATAGTCCTGATCTTGAGGAACAAACTGAAAAGTATGAGGAGAAACTTGATACTTTACTAGCCGAACACCCTGAACTGAAGCGACCAATCAAAATGGAGGGATCAGAAGAGGCCACGCCCCTTGATAGTGAAGACCTAAGAGAGGAGCTTGTCCTGTCGTCGTCAGGTATTGCTGACTTTGCAAAAATGAAAGTATTTTTTTTCTTATTTTTAGAATCAGAAGTAGAGGAAGAGGAAATTGGTTTAGTTGACCACACCCACCAAACGAGACAGTTAAGAGGTATGGCAGTTCGAAGGAAAGCCAAAGTTAGTTGTAAGGAAGTACCAAACTTTGTAGCCCAAAATTTCTGATGATACAAAAGTTTAATCCTTAAAAGTTTAACTCTCTTCTATTTGCAAAAATAAAATCTGCAAAAGCAATTTTTAATCGCTATTGGCAAAAATTTTGAGCCACAGATACATGTACATGAATATAATTTTTAATCTTTTTCTATTTTAATTCTTTTAGCACAGCAAGAGAAACGAGAAAGGAGAGACTCCATTACATGTTGCTGCCATTTCTAATCAACTGAACCGAGTCAAAGACTTACTAGCTGATGTACGTACGCTAATTTAACCCTTTGACCACTCCCTCTCTGCCCCGCCCACTTTAGGGAGCTGATGTCAACGCTCGTGACTATTGTGGCTGGACTCCGCTTCACGAGGCGTGTAACCATGGCAACCTGGGCGTGGTCGATTCCTTATTGAGTCACGGTGCTAGTATCAACGATGTTGGCGGAATGCACTGTAACATGATCACTCCTTTAATGGACGCTGTCAGTAACGGACATGTGGGTGTGGTCTCGTTGCTATTGGAGAGAGGAGCTGATATATCTATCAAAAATAAAGAGGTGTGTCTATTCATTTTCCTGGTCTGTTTTAACTGAACATTGTCATAATGATGACTCTCTCTCTCTCTCTCTCTCTCAGGGTAAATGTGCTCTTGACATTATACTGGATGCTTTAGTTAAAGATAAAGATGACATTGATTATATCGAAATCAGAGACAAATTGATTGAAGTAATCATCGTATACGTGTAACTCAAACTTGCTGAACAGCATAAGAACATGTACATGTATTATGTATCAGGAAAAATTATAAAAATTAAAAAATCTCTCAGAGCCATTTTTGACAAAATACAATGTCATTGACCAATTTTTGAAGCAACTTTAAAAATTTAATTATTTGTTATACTCTGATGAAGCTTACTAGTCCATTTAATCAAATTTCCAATGTATGTTCATAATTTGATAATTGCTTAATGATGTCCTGTACCCATACATGTACATTTATGTCACATTGAAATTGAATGTTTTGTGTCTATATGAGATTACTTGTTTTATATAAACATTGGAATCATCTCAAAAAGGAGGCTTTTTCTCAAGGCTTCTCTTTTGCATGTACTCCATCATCTTCCTCCACTTCTCTGTATTACATGTACATGTACACGAATTTAGTAATTCTTTCTTTACAGGCAACTAGGGCACAAGGTCTGCCAAGACAACGGACAGGGCATGTAAGTATTTTTTAATTTAATTTTTATTTTTCGTTTTTTGATAGAGTGTCCCTCCTCCTGTAGCAATAGTCCACCCACTTCAACAAGAAGACATTGAGAACATGGAGACACTCGTAAGGAAAGGAACACGTTTAATGTATTTCATGTCTTTGCACATGTATAGCCGTCACTAATACCAGTAGTATCAGATGAAGAGGAGGAAGAGGAAGTGGGTGGAGTCATTGCCGATAAAGATGGCTGGTTATTAGATGACATGGCCCCTCCCAATAAAAAGAGAAGACGGACACACCCACTTACCAGACGATCGAGTAACCATGGCAACCAGAGTCAGTTTACTCAAAGGAGGCGGAGCAATCCACTGGATATGGAGGTAGAACCTTTTTGGAACGAAGACTCAAATCACAGCAATCCTGATTTATGTATCACGCCTACTCAATCACCACGCCCACTAGCCTATGTGCTTCCTTCACCCACTCAATCATTAGTTCCACCCACTCAATTACTTGCTCCACCCACTCAATCATTAGCTCCACCCACTCATTCATCATTTGTTAGAATCAAAGTTCGACTTGACGATGGTACATTTCTTGTACCGTGTCCATGGCAACAGGACGATGGGGCGGAGACAACCATTGGGTCGTTGGCCGAGGCAGCTAGTGAACGTTATTTCCATCAGCATGGCCGACGCCCTGTTCTATCCTTGACCACGTCAGAGGGTGCGTTCCTCTTCCCCACTGATAGACTTGTGGAGGTTCTACAGGAAGGGGATGAGGTAGTAGGTGTGGTCAAACACTGGGAAACTCCGCCCATTGCTCAACACTACGAGTCCATCTGTGATAGATTTAAATCAAGTAGGTTTACCAGTTAAAAAAAAGAATTTTTGAAGCCATTTTTGACGTATAGTACTAAATCTATTTAAACGTACACAGTTGTTATCTTTATGTGATTTAGTGTCAAAGTGTTTTTGTTTGTTGATGCTGTCATTTTAATGATTTGTATGATATGCAATAATTGTAACTAGTGCTGGCTTCTGTGTGTACTGTCTACTAGTGTCTGGGAGTATGTAGGAAAGGGAAGAATTTACAATAGAGTATCTCATTCTTAGAAAATAGCATTACTTAGGAAGTGAAAGTTGTAATGAATTATTGATGTTCTTATACATGTACTTGTGTATAGTACATGTCATTCAGACTATTCCCAGCATTAATTTGCTGTAGATTTAAACTGTATGCATGTACAGGGAAAGTTTGTGTGTCTTGCTACATGTACATGACCACATGTAACTTTTGTTTAATTGGTGAACTTTTGTATGTGAAATAAAGTAGAAATAGTCAAATTAGCTATATGAAATTCAATTCTGTGATATGATCCTTGCTGTGAAAGTAGTATCTCTTTCACTTCAAGCCTGATTGTGTAGTTAAACTAGACTTCATTGTACTGATGGACTATATCCCAATTTTATAATTGTCTGGACACGTGTTTGTTTCTCTATAATCTCCAGCTGTTAATTATTGTGTGTGTGTCTGTACTTTCTTATCCTTTTACTGACACACCCACTCAGTCTCAGTGCTGATTCTGTGTTGATATTTTCCATGTGTACATGATCAAAGTAAGTCTTCACTATCACACGTTAGCTGCTGAATCTTTACAACTATTGGGCTATGTCTGTCATGCAGGGTGTATGTATGTTTGTACATGTATGTCATCTTTTTAAAAATAGTTTAATCACTACTGATGCATATATCATGAAATATTTCCTTTAAAAATTAGTCTAATTTATACTCATACACATATCATATTACTGTGTAGTAACTATCATTTTTTATTACAGTAGCATTGCATTTCTCTTCTCTATTATTTCCAGGTGTTCATTCCGGTTTACTTCAATTGTTTCAGAGCTCAACTTCACCTTCTCCCTCCTCTCTCTCTTTCTCTAACCTCACTCTACAGCCCAAGCACTGTCCCTCTCTATGTCACACGCTATTAGCTTACCCTTCTCTCTCCTCTCTCTCTTTCTCTGGTCTCCTCCTCACTGATTCTTCACTGTCTCATTTTGGAAAGCTTCTTTCTAACCTGCCAACACTGTATCACTTAGACCTGTCCTGCACTGGAATCACTAGCACTGGATTGCAGAGTCTTTCTCTTGCACTAGCAACACAAACAACCTCTGCTACCTCCAGTAAGTTATATATGTACAGACTAGCCTCTATATAATGGACACTTTGAAAGTATCTCTGGTATACAGAGGTGTCCTTTATGTGGAGGTTATTTTATACAGTAAGGAATGTAATTGGTACACTAGGTGCTGTCCGTTAAATGGAGGTGTACGCTATAGAGAGTGTCCATTAAGAGAGGCTATACTATACATGTAGTCATTATCCTAAGATCTAATCAATACGTACATGTACATGTTTGTCAATCGACTGATTAATGATCCAGTTTCAATATCTTAATAGACCCTCTTCCTCTGAAGTCGCTGAAACTGAGTCACAATGAGTTGGGACCTTTCGTCGCCTCCTCCCTCTCTCTCCTTCTCTCTCGGACTCCTTCACTCACCCACCTCTCTCTCGCTGACTGTGGTATAACAGGGTATACACTGGAGGCACACACTGGGTTCACTGGTACGCTGGTCGGACTAGCCGGACTACAAGAACTGGTTCTGGATCAGAATCATATCGAAGATAACATCAGCTGTTTCGCTGATTTAAGATTAACTTCTCTCAGCTTGAACTCTGTCATTTCTACTACTTATACTATAAAGGTATACTACTACAGTGAAAAACTGATAGAACAATATGTACATGTACATGAATTGGAAAGGATACATGTACATGTACATGTACATGTACATGTACATGTACATGTACATTAAAGATCGATGATTAATATGTATGCTATTTATTTTACAGTTTAATTTGTTTGGTGGTTGATTGTCTATTCACAATCCAATACTGAGTAAAGTGAAATAAAATATGAACTTTCAGTTTCAATGTGTACTCTACTTCAACTGAAAGTATTATATGCTACTAAAACTATTGGCCTATAGAACATTCCATGAATATGTACATGTACATGTACCACTGACAATTTTTTTTTCTTTTTTTGTGATAATTCTAGTTGCCAGTTTCTGTTCTTAATCTCAGTCTTTCTTGCTGTCCTCTTGGCAGCCATAACTTGCTCTCACTCTCTTCCTGTCACCATCTTCAATCGCTTAACGTGTCCGCCTCACTAACTTCAAGCAATGATGTAGAATCACTCGCGAGGTATGGAGGCATTTAATTATAACACATGCCCGAGGGTAAATCATGTATGCTTATAAATTAAATGCTAGTTGATTTGATTCTCCATCACTTTTGTTAATTATATTTTTGATTCATGTTCTGTAAACATTCTTATGTGTTGCAGTATAATTTATATAATCCTTTTGTGTCATTTTAATATTTATAATAATAATAATATTTCTTACTATGTAGCTCCCTTGCTTCTCTCAGCAATCTCACTAAACTAGACCTCACTGGTAACCGCTCTCTTGCCAACACTGGCTGTACCAAGGTTATGATAGCTTGTAAGCAAACCCGACTGCAAGCCATCTACCTAATGGACTGTCAGTTACTGTCACCTCTGGAGGAGACAATGATGGAGTCTATGGCTCAATTAAAACTGAATCTAGCTGACTTGAGATATAACGATATATCTATTGAAGACCGAGAGAGACTGAATCTATTATTAGCATACGATGTATATTTATAGTAACAGCTATTATATCACTTTGATTTAGAGCTATAATATATGTTTATCATTTTTATTCTGTTATTTTTGTCCCTCAAACCGTGTAGGTGTTGAATTTAAGCATGCGGGTGTGTGTGTGTGTTTAAAGGTGTGGCTTGTAACTGATTTATAATAAAGCATAGTAAAGCAAGCAGGGCTGCAGGAGAAAAAGAACTTTAGTCTTTTATTTCTTTTCCTTTCTTCCTCAAATACTTTCATTATTGGTAATGGCGGACCACGAGGAGCTGATTGAGGAAATGCCCAAACTCGAGAAGATGAGCAACGCGGCTCGACTCAAACTGGCCAAGAAGAGGAGGCAGAAACAGCTAAAGAGGTACACGGAGACTGAGCGGGGCCGGCCTCATAGCGGCAAGTCTAACAAAACTAAGACTAGGATCAACTTTGAAGAAGCTGCTCTCCTCCATGACGCTGTGCAGCAGAATAACATTGAGGAAGGTTAGTTGACCATGGAATTTGCTTTAAAATAATTGTTTTATTTCTTATTGTTATTATTAATTTTATTTCTTATTGTTATTATTAATTTTATTTATTATTGTTATTATTAATTTTTCCTATTATGTTCAGTGGCGAATCTACTGGCTAAAGGAGTAACGTGTAGCCATAGTAACGCAGATGGATTGACACCTTTGCACAGGGTGAGTTTAGTATTATAATAAACCTTTAAAGATCCTTGCTCTGTGAGATATTGCTGTTCTTTTAATAAGTTTGGAAATTTTATCTAAACCCAATATAACAGTCCAACTAGTTGAACAACATCCATCCAAAACTGATTTGCACTGTACTCTTCCTAATCTATTGTCTTTTCAGACAACAAGAAGCTACACTCATAGAAAGTGACCACAATCAAGTTCCTGGCTTCATTGAATTGGATAATAGAGTGATACCAGCAGCATAATAAGCATATCCACCACACAACAGCTTATTACATTATTATTGATCTTATGTGTGGTGGTATTTAGCCAGCATAGTGGCTGTATATACTGTAAAATCACACTACGGTTGACAGGCCATTATATGAGAAATATTACACATTTTTTTGATTTCAAAGTGTCTATACTGAATTCACTCCATTAGCTACAGTATAATGACTAATGTGTTATTGAGCTACTCTTGTTTCTCAGCATTTGTATGTACCTACTGCTTTAATTGAGTATACCATTTCCTCTCATGGAAAGCTATGTGTGTACTATTGGCCCATTGTATCTTTTGAAGTTCATTTTTATTAATAAAAGGGGATCATATGGGAGACTACTGAAACCCTATGTTTATTTTCTGTCTGTGAACAAGGAGCAGACATTGTCTGATTAATAATTAGTAAATATAATGTTGTAACTCCTTATTTAAAATTGAAAGTAAATGTAATTATTATTATTAGTAACAAAGCATTCCAGTAAATTATTTTATTATTATTATTATTATTATTATTATTATTATTATTATTATTATTATTATTATTATTATTATTTTAGTGTTGCATTGAGAACACAGTAGACATGGCTAAGCTATTAATAGATAATGGAGCTGATCTAACATCACGAGACATAGAGGGTTGGACCCCACTCCATGCTGCCTCTGCTTGTGGTAACCTCCCCATGATCAACCTCCTGATAGCTTCTGGGGCTAACCTGGTCTGTGTCAATCATGACGACAAGATGCCTGTCGATGTAGCCTGTGATGCTGACATTAGGCACGTTATACAGCAAAAGATGTTGGAAGAAGGTGAGATATAAATTAAAAGAGAAATGAATGAAAAGAATATAAATTAATGGGAGGCTTAGCTACAGACCATTTTTATACTTGTGTCATTTGAAGGAGAAAGATGAAATTAACGATAGCTTAGGATTTAATTTTAATTCAAGAAAAAGGAACAAGTGCTTTCAGAATAGTTTATTTTTAGTTGTAGAATATCATTCGCTGATGGACACTTATGCTGTTTACTTGTTGACATAAACAACTCTTTGTTTACTATCCTCTTCTGTGAATTCTTTCTGTTTCTGTATGTAGACTACTCATTTCTTCTCTTTCTTCGACAGGTTACACTGATGATGTCTGTAAATACTTGCGTGACTCGGTTCCAAAGACAATGCTGGCTGATCTTAAAGCGTTTGTATCAGATGGTGGATCAGTTAATACTAAAGATAAATATGGTGCTTCAGCAGTAAGAAACATACCTCATTCATTAACTTACAATATGTTATACAAAAGTTGATGCTACACTTATATATGCTAAAATAGAAATTGGTTTTGTATACATCAAAAGGTCAAATTGGATTAAAATAATGTTACATTCGTCTATTGTACTTGTAGTATTGCCATATCGAGCCTTATAAGTGCCTTTACTGTGTGTGTGTACATACATGTATTGTTGTAATGAATGATGATTGGGCTTTGTGTTTATGAATTCTTTATACAATCATTGTTCTGTTGTTTATACTCAATGATTGAACTAGTACACACTCCATTACTGGTAATGGTAGTAGGTTGTGTATTTGTTCTAAATAGGACTCCATAGTACAGTATTGTTTAATGTGGTCTGATTAATTCAATATATACCTCATACTCTACATAGCATCAACATTAGTAACTTAATTGCTTTCATAAGTAATGTAATACCTGAGGACTGAGATATCTGCTTGAGGTGAAGCTGAGGGCAGATATCAAGGGACTCAGGTATTACATTACTGATACTCACCTCCAGACACATACTGGTCACTGTAGAGCTATGTATGGTTTATGATAAACCAGAGTTGTTATGAAATATGGGGACATTTAATCAGTAATCATTACAACAGGCAACCAATATCTCATATTTGTTAGTCCCATTTCAATAAGTTTCAGTTCTGCTGCTCTTGTTTGTTTTGTCTTGAGATATGCTGTCCGAGCTGTGTCTGTGTGTGTGTATCAATAGCTCCATCAGTGTTAGTATGAAGCAGCTGTTTTAACATACAGTAATACTGGCATTAATCATTATATGGTGGATACACAAGATAACTGATAAAATAACATAACAGTGGAGTAAAGTGATATTGTATATACCCTCCCCCCCTCTTTCTTTACTTCTCTCCCCCCCTCTCTCCCTCCTCTTTCTACTCTCAGTTACACATTGCTGCTGCTAATGGTTACATAGAGGTGATGGAGCTCATTCTCTCTCAGCCAAAAGTAAACATTAACATTCAAGACAATGAGGGCTGGACTCCATTCCATGCTGCCGTCTGTTGGGAACAAGTAAGATACTAATAATATACTTATACAGTAGATTATGGAATTATTTTTGTTGTTAATAGAGAGAAGCAATGAAATTATTAGCAGAGAAGAATGCTGATTTAGAAATGCAAGATATTCACGGTGACACTCCTTTTGGTGAGCTAATTTCTTTTATTTAAACTTTATTCTCCTAGCTCTATATCTCCTTTGTTTTTAACTTCTATATAGTATAAAAATTGGTGATTTTGCAGCTATTTTTTAAAACAAGCATGGGCTATAGTACAGGGATTTTTTAGAAATTGGCCTATTTTTTAAATGGTCATAACTCGAAAAATTCAAGCCGGAATCAGCTCCAACTTTCTACACAGCATAAGTACATCAATATGTATCAGAAAATGTAATAAAAATTTGGGATGATTTCAGAGCCATTTTTTCAAATAAACTATGGGCTATAGTACAGGGATTTTTTTCAAAAATTGGCCTATTTTAAAAATAGCCATAACTCAAAAAATTTTAGTCGGAATCAGCTCAAACTTTCTACACAGCATAAGTACATCAATATGTATCAGAAAATGTAATAAAAATTTGGGATGATGTCGGAGCCATTTTTTTGGAAAAACCATGGGCTATAGTACAGGGATTTTTTCAAAAATTGGCCCGTTTCTTAAAATGGCCGTAACTTTAAAAATTTAAGTCGGAATTGACTCAAACTTTCTACACAGCATAAGGACATCAATATGTATCAGAAAATGTAATAAAAATTTGGAGTGATTTTGGAGCCATTTTTTGAAAAAAAACCATAGGCTATAGTACAGGGAGTTTTTCAAAAATTGGCCCATTTCTTAAAATGGCCTTAACTCGAAAAATTTCTGTCAGAATCAGCTCAAATTTTCTACACAGCATAAGGACATCAATATGTATCAGAAAATATAATAAAAATTGGAGGTGATTTCGGAGCCATTTTTTCGAAAAACCATGGGCTATAGTACAGGGAGTTTTTCAAAAATTGGCCCGTTTCTTAAAATGGCCATAACTCGAAAAATTTCTGTCGGAATCAGCTCAAATTTTCTACACAGCATAAGGACATCAATATGTATCAGAAAATTTAATAAAAATTGGAGGTGATTTCGGAGCCATTTTTTGGAAAAAACTATGGGCTATAGTACAGGGATTTTTCCATAAACTGGCCCATATAATCTTCTCTTCATTCCTTCTCTAGCTGTTTCCGATATTCCTGAAATTCGACAATACATCCTTGATCTAAAGGCACAGTTCACTGCTCCAATGTCTATCTCTCTCACTCTCTCCACCTCACGGGAAGACATGCTTGGACTTTCAGAGTCTCGTGGTCGAAACAGAAGGTATTGTACACAATACAATGGTCACATGAGAGTCACATGATGATTGTGTAGTTTATCAGTTCGGAGACAAAGTACTAGTGATCGCCAGCAAAATGATGTGAAGAGATTGTCGATGAGAGAAGAGAAAATGATGCTTCAAAGGTCACTAGAAGCTGAGGTTAGTTTTAGTAACAGTAACATGTACAGACTAGCCTCTATATAATGGACACTTTGACTTAAGAAAGTGTCTCTGTTATACAGAGGTGCCCTTTATGTGGAGATTATTTTATACAGTAAAGGAATGTAATTGATACACTAGGTGCTGTCCATTAAATAAAGTTGTCCGTTATAAGAGGCTGTACTGTATGTAGATACATATTAAAGACTAATCAAATTAAATTTTTTAATTGACCCACTTAACTAAAGAATGCTGAACCTTGTAATTAATGAATATTTTTAAAACCACTTCTAATGTTGACAGGAATTATATCACTGTGACTTGCTTGTAAATTTCACATAGCAAGTGTCTAACTAATGAGTTACATAATCATTGCTCATGGCAGGAATCTCAGTAATGAGCTAAAATAATGATTTTTATTACATGCCTTAGGATATAGAAAGAACAGCGAGTGGAGAGAAAATGGACGATGATATTCTACTAGATGATTTGGAGCTGTCAGTAACGAGTGGGACAGCAGCTGCTCCAGCAAATGAAGTGAAGGAGACAACACTTATAGGGGGAGGAGGAGGAGGAGGAGGAGGGGAAGAAGCTGAAAAGAAGACTAGGTCATCTCCTGAATCTAGATCACCTCTTGACAGCTTAAGCTCTCCCTTACCACCACACAGTCCTGAGCAACTGGAGGAAGGGATGCTTGAAAGAGAACTAGAGAAAGCACTCAACCCAGAGAAGAAGGACATTGTTAGTATCTTACGCAACAAGAAACCAACCCCAGTGAAACTGGACACTCTACAAAAGAACAGTGAGCATTCGTACACAGAATTTGAGACAGCAGGATCCAGTGGGAGTTTACGTAAAAACCGACCTTCAGGGGGTGGTGCATCGGGAGAATGCTGTGTTGTTTTATAGTAAAGATGCATATTACATTATTAGCAGATTGTGTCTGCGTGTGATTGTGTGCATTATTTTTAAAGAGAGAGCTAACGACATCTTTTGTTGCGAACTAATAGATTTTTAATGTTGGCGTCACTATTGTTGTTATTATTATCATTATTACTAATAAAAAATTTATTTTTGTTCACATTATTTTTTATATAACGATAACAGTACTATACTATAATGATTGTTATTTTGTAATCAGTTCAAAAAATGATCATAATTATATATTTTTTTAATTTTTAAGATTAACCACCCTCTTCACCCACGGCTTGTTCCCTCAACCCATGACTGCATCTTTAATGGTGTACTTGACAATTTTATCATTCCATTCTTTTGAGATGTAAATGATCATAAAAATGACAAGCAGGACAAGGTATATTCCAGTAACCAAGCACACAATCTGCAAACAGAAATAAGAACAAATGAGGTCATTGATGAGCTATTCAATGCTACAAGGTAGCACATGGCAAGAGCAGATAAATTGAACATTATTAGATCAATAATATCGAACTAACATCATTATGGCTTATAGTCAGTATAATCCTTAATATTCAATTACTACAGTTGTATACTGAAAGCTAATAGATGCCAGATACATCAGAGGACGTGACATGCTTTAGCTTTCCTGCTAGTAAATGTCACACAACAAATTAATATTAGTGTATATGTTCTTTCAGTATACTTAATTTAATTTACTGAGAAGATCAATGCCTTGCATGTTTGCACACAAAATGGTCTAAGAAGAATGCATTCTTATCGGTTGCCTAGCGTTGCCATAGTACAGAACATTGACACATCTAAGTTACAGTTCTAATTACAGTTTTGACCAGGCCCTGCATTCCAAGAGGCTTTATTAAATTGATTCCCCAACCACAGAAACCTATTGAGCACATTAAACACTACATCATCCCCACAAGTTGTAAGTTTTGACAGCAAGCCAATGCTATAGCATGATAGTATAGTATTTCGGTTACTATAAACTTACAGAGGCGGCTATCAGTGAAGCATATACTGCATCAGAGTCATTTCCATTGAGACTGTCCCAATCAGGAGCTCCTACAGCACTTATGATACCACCAGCAATTGATATCACAGCCAAAACAATAGTAATGATAATATCCTATTAGAGAAAAGGAGCATTATTATTGTATATCTAGGGCAAATTCTTACAATAGCCAGGAATATTTTGCTCTTCAGGTTAAGGAGCCCAATGTTGCAAATACGAAGTATGATCATCACGAGAGCCCAGACTACCACAAGGGCACCAGATGCAACATCAATAGCTCCTGCTGCATTAGTCACTGCCTGTGTAGTATTAAGATCATCCTCGTTAGTTGATGCTTCGTATTCAGTATTGAAACCGATGACTAGTGCACCAACTATGATTGACAAAACACCAAGAACCTAGCAGAGAAAAAAAACATATTATATAATTCATTAAAAATTAAAATCAAATATCTCATTAATTTTATTCACAGTATTACAATGTATGCATTTATGCTACATAAAGGAGCTTACCAGAGCTCCAACTCGAAGTACCATCTCCAGGACTCCCTGACAGAAACTGCACGCTGCTTTACCGGGCCTTGGACCAAGTACCTCACCGGCTGCACTAGCAACTAAACTACTCATCTTTTGATTTATTTAAGAGATGGAAAGAAGCTCTTGAGAAATTAAAGGTACAAAAGACAGGACAATGAATGACAGAAGAGCTGGAGGACACGAAATTTAATGTAGACTATGGAAGCGTCACTATGACTCATTATGACTAAATAGGTGGAGCTCATAAAAAATTAATTACAAAGTTGCAATAATAAAATTAATTGTTGTTACTGGTACCATTAATAATGAATTAAAGTGTGTATATTTATTGGACATCTGCTAAGAATAGAGACATAATACTTAAACACAGACCTATCACATATGGAATAAAATAGATACTCAATGAATGTAAAATCAATAGTAACTGTCAGAGTTATATATCAAAGGATTTCTTTGGATTCATTTCATCTCAATGTTGTTCCTATTGTACTCCTGGCTGCACCTATCCTTGCTTGCCACCACAGAAATAAGAACATTGATCATATTATAGATTGAGCTTATACTGAAACCCTGTTAAGAAATGTCTTTGTCATAATTTTGAGAGTAACTTTTTAACCTTCCATATCTTTCAAGATATCTTTCTCCTCCTCTCTCTCTTCTCCCTCTCTCTCTCTCTTCTCTCTCACTTACAAAGGCAAACCAAAGCATTGTAGATGTGATACTAAAATATTTTGTGTCAACATTTCTCAATCGTTGCTCAAAGGCATCAAGATAGTCACTTCTAAGCCAAGTCAGGAGGTATATGCCAACGATTATCCCGATGAACAAAGACATGAACACAATGGCCAAAATGACTTCCTAAATAAAGAAAAAAGTGTACTTTTGTTAATAAGATGTCTTCTCGATTCCTCTCTTTCTCTATGGTGAGTGTTGTGTTCCTGCAATGTTGGCACACAGTGTCTTCTCACATCTCTCCAACCAAGAGTACATAATACTAGTTCTGAGTTTCACTCTAAATCCTCATGCTAATACATTAGGGATAATAATCATACAAGAGGCAATAATCATGGTCAGCTATTGTGACTATGAATGATCTCATGCTTAAAAATGAATAGCATTCCATTACAACAAACATTTCTATCTAATAAGCGATGGCATAGAAATAAAATGGATTGGTACAGTTTAATGACAACTAATTATTAGCAAATAAATGCAACTGAATTAGCACTCATTAAAACTAAAAGCGTAAAATCACACGTATCTAAATAATCAAAACAGACAACGTCATTGGCTTTTTAAACTTACAATCCAATAAAAGTACTTGAGATTTTTGTCGATAAAACTATCAGCACAGATCTTCAATGCAATGACAATCAATTGATAAAAGACACAGATTGCTGTCAGTCCTATGAACAAACCACAGAATATGTTCACTGATCTCTGGAGCCAGTTTGGGTCCAGAGAGCTCAGGCTCAGCCTCGTGCAGTTTGTGAGGGAGCGAGGGAGGGAGCCATTGGAGGGAGCATTGTTAAAACCAATCGCCAAGCACAAAAACAGGAGGGTGATGGCTGGAATGCCCTAATGTTATTTATTGACAATAATTTTGTATAATCATTGATTCTCGGAAATGAAATGAACTCACGGCTGAAAAACCACGGGACCAGAGTATAGCAGACACTTTGTTAGACATTATTCTTTGCTGTGGAACACAAGTAGAGAGGTAGACTGCATACAAAGCGATAGCACACACTCATCAAAACTTTAATTCATTCAAGTGCAAAACCACGCCTCTAAAATTTTTAGCCGTGCCTTTATTAATTAATAGAAAAATAATGTAAATGCAAAGAACCAACATTACAAGGTCACTAGTCAACTACAAAAATATAAAAGTTATGAATCATCTCCAATGTAAGCAAATCAATGCATGTTCTTCAGCTCTTCTTTGTTCTCTTCTTTGGAGCACTTGCCATGAGTAGTCCAGGAATGTCCCAAAACACTGATCATCTGGTACATGGAACTGATGGAAAAACCCTACAGTTGAGAAAGATTATTATAAACGTACGGTAACACAAAACTATTCCTTCTCTCTCTCTCTCTTACAAAAGCTGCCCAGAGCATGCCAGTAGTCACACCAAAGTGCTTTGTACTGATCCCATCAAGCTGATTGTCAAAGACTGTCAAGTAGCTATTTCTATAAGAAGACAAGAAAACAACTCCAGCACAAATTGCAGCAAAGACAGCAACAAAAATATTCAAGAGGATAGAATCCTAGTAATCAAAAAAAAAAGATAAATATGCACAAAATTGCATCCTTTTCTTTCCTTTCCAAAAGGACATACAACAGATTGTATTAAACTATTGTTTAGATCAATGTTGAGAAACTATTTTGACACAGCACATAAAATGATTCTAAATTTTCATTAATCTCATTACAAGTGCGTAGTAAAAGCACATCCACTGGCACTAGCATAACAATAAATTGGTTTAATTAGGCACAGCCCACAACTGCACAAGGCATAATTTAATATGAAGCAGATTAATTATAAATATACTAACTAGTTACATGTCAGTGTACATGTAATATAATTTCCATCAGTCCAGTTGCAAATTGGCAACCTACAGCAGCTTTACAAATCACAATAATCTATCACACACTTGTGTTATATAGTAATGCATTACACAATGTGCATAGTATATAACCTATCAGACACTTGTGTTATATAGTAATGCATTGTACAGTGTACATAGTATATAACCTATCAGACACTTGCATTGTATAGTAATGCATTGTACAGTGTACATAGTATATTAAACCAATCTTGTTTTTGTTTTTTTTTATAATTTAAATAATCCACTCATTGCACAACACTTCAGAAACCGATAACAATTCATTGTCACATGTGACTATCAAAGAAATACACGTGACTGTGCAATAGCATGTCCTGCATTATGTGTGCTTGATGGTCATGTGATCATTGCACAATGACTGTGCAACAATGTATACTGTGTACTGTGTGTGTATTTATAGGAACAAACCTCCACCATGCAGAGAGAGATGCTGAGCAATGGTAACCACTAGCAAATGAATATCTAATTATAATGTACAGTAGATTATAGGGTAAAGGATTTGCAGCTAGGAAAAATTACCGGTAAAAGCTGAACTTTTTGTAAGGATTATGAAACTAACTTAAAAACTTTAAAATATTACACGTGGGTGAAAATTTAAATATTTATTATCTATGACAAAAATAATCTTAGGAACGACCTGGAGATGGTCGTAAAAAGCATACAAGACAGTGCCCATCTATTGCAATCACACAAGGGACATACTGAGATTATGCAGATTACAAATGGAAATGAAATGAAATGCCATTTGATATACTCACCACCCAAAAGAATATCTTCTTATTTGTTCGGCTCTCCAAGAAACCAACTTGCAAAGCCTTCAAAACAATGACAACAATCTGATAAACCATGACAAATAGAGTCAACCCAGAAAAGATGCCACAGAAGATGTTAGTGGAGATCTTAATGTTGTTTGGATTAAGAAAATCCAAATTAAGATTAGAGCAATTGGCAGTTGAGAATGGAAGGTTGTCACTATCTGGTGAGTTGTTTAAACCAAGAGCAATGACCAAGAAGAGAAGCACAACAGCTGGGATGCCCTGTGTGTATGGACAATAATAAAACCGAGTAATAAACTGAGCAAAATCAAGGTTTTAATATCAATTTACAGTTGCAAATCCACGGGACCAGATTTCTCCACAGGTACGTTTGTCGACCATTTTCCGTCTGAAATAAGAGCAGCAAACAAAGAGAGAACAAAGAGAAACAGCAGCAGAATGGAATGGATTCCGAGCTTTTAAACTTGAGTTGTGACCTTTTTGCTCGCCTTTAAGCCTTTTTGTGAACAACGAGTTTATAACTAACCACGCCCACCAGACAATAGCCTCGCCCAACCACCTGGTTTTGACTTGGAGATCTTGTGTTGTTCCCTTCTGTACAGTTATGCCTACATCAAAGAATCCCTCTAAAGTTATCGTTCATCCAATAGTCCTCCTCAGTGTGGTGGACCACTACAACAGGTTGAGCAAGATTGGTAACCCTGGGCGGGTAGTAGGCGTATTGCTCGGCTCCTGGAGGAAAGGAGACGCTGTGGACGTCGCCACCAGTTTTGCAGGTGAGCCACTTCGAGCTCTTTAATTATTTCCACGAGAAAATAGGCATCTTGATATTTTTATTTATTTTGCTATATTATTCTAATTAATGCCCCTTTGTTAATTACTGCATCACGTGATCTTTTTAGTTCCATTTGATGAAGACACACGTAATCCTGAAGTATGGTTTCTTGATCACAGTTATCTGGAAAACATGGCCGGGATGTTTCGCAAAGTCAATTGTAAGTGACCACTTTTATTTGTGTCATTTCTAATTAATGCACACCCCAGCTCGTGAGCGTATAGTGGGCTGGTATCACACGGGACCCAAACTGTATCGTAACGACATGAAGATTCACGAACTTATTAAGAAATATTGTCCCAACCCAGTAAGTATTCATCATTTTTAACCCTTGAACCAAAAAAATAAAATGGCTGCCATTTTTATTTAGAATAATAATTATAATTATTTTTATTTTTATTGTTTTTAGGTTTTAGTGATTGTTGATGCTAAACCGCTAGATCAGAAGTTGCCCACTGATGCTTATTATGCCATTGAAGAAATCCATGAGGTACGTGCCACCACTGTCACATGACTTGTGGTTACCATGGTTACTAGGACGGTACCCCAGCTGTGAAAACATTTGAACATGTGGCAAGTGAAATCGGAGCAGAAGAGGCAGAGGAAGTTGGCGTGGAACATTTGTTAAGGTTGGCAAAATATTTTTAAACTCTACATATTGAACTGTAGGGGTTTCCCACAAAGCATGCTAAGTGAGCTAAACAGCATGAGCTTCATGAGCTGACAAGCACTACAATGCAGTACATGGCATTTGGAGCAACTTTTAAAATTCATAAAAAATCCAAACTTGATTGGAATCAGCTCAAACTTGCTACACAGCATAAAAACATGTACATGTATCAGAAAAATTATAAAAATGAAGAATTCTTTCCTTTTCATTTTTGATGAAATTTGGCCAAAATCCCTGTACTATAGTACAGGGACTTTGGCCGGATTTTGGAGTAACTTTAAAAATTCATAAAAAATCCAAACTTGATCGGAATCAGTTCAAACTTGCTACACAACATAAGATCGTGTATATGTATCAGAAAAAAGTTATTAAAATGGAGAATTCTCTTCTCATCATTTTTGGCGAAATTTGGCCAAAGACCCTGTATATTTCAGACTCTGAACTTCATACTCTTCACTTAGGGATATTCAAGATAAGACAGTGGGTACTCTTTCCCAGCGTATCAACACACAGTCGCATGCTCTTGAAGGACTCCAGCGTCACATGGAGCAGATACAAGGCTACCTGGAGAAAGTCCTAGCTGGTCAATTACCACTGAATCACCCAATCCTCTACCAATTGCAGGACATATTTAATTTACTGCCTAATCTTAACTTGGAGGAGTTTACTAGAGCGTTTGCTGTGAAGACTAATGATCAGATGCTCATCATTTACGTTACTAGTATCGTACGCTCCGTGATTGCACTACATAATCTTATTGGTAATAAAGTGAGCAACAGAGAGGCTGAGAAACTGGAGGAGGAAGGAGGCAAGGATGGAAAGAAAGATGAGAAGAAGGGTGACGAGAAGAAGTCTGAGGATAAAAAAGGTTCTGAAGATAAGAAAAGCGAAGATAAGAAGTCTGAAGATAAGAAAGGTTCTGACGACAAGTCAAGTGGAAAGACCGAGAAGAAATCTTAATTTAACTACTTCTCATTTTATTGCAATCATTATTATAAAAATAAAATATTATTTTAAAGTGTAAATCTTAACTTCAGAAGGAGCTTTTTGGTGATATGTTATTGCTTTACTGTTGCTGTGTAGCAAAGTCTGTTGATTCTACTTATAGCTGTGAACAAATTATGTAGTGGATAATACAATCTATTCTCTTGCTAAAAATAAAACTAAAAATTGCACAAAATAATTATAATTTTAAAAATAATCAAGTGAACACTGGAAAGGCAAGTGTAGTGGTTAATATTGGGTTGTGAATTTCTAAAGACTTTTCCGAATAATGAAGTACAAGGTCCAGTAATGAATCATAACAACACGGAATAGCAAACCCATATCGATTACTGTCTTGTACAACTTTTAAGCTCTTGATACCATTGTAACTGAGAGAGGAGAAAAGGGGGTTAAGACATAAAGTAACAAACTTCTCATTCTTTACTCCCTCCATCTCTCTAACATACACTATATCAATTGTATGGGTGTGTAGTCCTCCTTTAGCACTTGGCATTGCCTTTCTTGATGGACGGCATAAAAATGTACCATTTTGTTTACCACGCAAGTGCCTATGAGCACATAACCTAATAAAAGAGAGATGGCCAGAAAAACAAGGATATAGGTAATACAATCCATTATCATTGTAATACACGTATATACCTGTCACATTCTATATACCAGGTCTCTGGCCGGATGTGTGGTAGTGGCACTAGCTAATAACACAAAATACTGGTAATAGCAATAACAAAATAATAGCAATAATAACAACATCTGTCTTTTCTGGAAATTAATATCACAATAGGAATGACGTATATGCATGCATTGTGGCATGATATTATAGTCCATGATTGTGCAACAAAAAAAATGAACTCCCTTTCAATCACTTTGAAATGGAGGGCTATACAACCCAATTAAGAATTAAATAATAAGGAAACAAACTCCTCTCATGCACTATTTTTTTTTCAAGGACTTACTGTTGGTGGAGTAGTCTGTGATATTGAATGCCTGCAGGTATTAGAAAGAGGAATGCATGTATGTAAAAGCAAGAGTATAGATGCATACTTAGGAGGTGGTGGAATTGGAGGTGGTTGAATACTTTGTATTTCAGATGAAGGCCTATGAGTAGTCATGGTTTCAAAACTCATACCCTGAGCACCAATACTATTTTGTTTCAGCTATAATAATAATGGCATCTCTGAGTAGCACAATTCAAGTAGCACAATTCAAGTAGTCATGGTCTTCAGTTTTACATTGCCTTTGATTTTGCTTTTTATGGTGAATTCATTTGGAATCATTTTTGATGAATTACCATGTGCTGTCTTTGGCAAAAAATTTGGAATTAGTTGTAACTCTATATACAACATAAGAATATGATGTATGCCATAGTATCATAATAACACTTTTACTGATCCTGACTAAAAAGGTGAGCACATTGGTGTGATGTACAACACTTTTTGTGCTACACAACTTTAATTTTCATGAATTTCTATCATTCACAATGAGCCTGTTTTGAATTGATCTTATTTTGGGAAATTAAAAAACATTGCATAATTGTAAATTCATAGCCTGCAAAAATACATAGCATTGCTTAAAATATCAACTCCAAACCCATATTAATATAATAACCTCACTTACTTTTGATTCTGCCACTTCACCATATATGAGTCTGATTCAATTGCTTTCTCCCTTAGATCTTTTTGTAGTGAGTCACTAGATCTGAGAGGAAGAGATTAAATCTGTACAATTAAAATAGATGCACCTAGGAGGTAGAGGTGGACGTGGTCCTGGATGATAAATATTCTGTGTCACAAGTGGAGGCTCATAATTATCATTTCTCTCCTCGCTAAATAACAACAACAACAACAACAAAAATAATAATAATAATAATAAAATTTTAATCTCTCAGTCTCTTGGCCCCACAGACCCATCTAAAACATCAATATAATTATTAATGTTCCCTCACTTACTCTTCATCCTGCAACTTTGGAGCACCATAAATTGCTGCATATATACTCTCTGATTCATTGATTGCTTTATCTTTAACACGGTCTGATATCTCTTGGTGACTTAAACCTTCTTGTACTAATTTACTGTGTAGGAGAGAGGAAAGAAAAGGAAAGGAAAAAAGAGACAAGATAAAAAGTATATAAGCATTTATCCTTTTTATTGTCCTATTTCTTTTCTTTTTCATTATTATTTTTTCTTGCCTGGTGTATTGGTCTTTTTCCCACTGTAGTCTCATAAGTTCTGGTCTAAGTACATTCAGGTCCCTATCTAGTGCTCTAAACTTGCTGTTACAGTCTCTCAGCTGCTGTAGTGATGTTTTGTGACTGCTTTCTGCCACTGTGATTTTATGACTTAATAACTTGGCATTCTCCATTACACTAGGAAAGGAAAGAGAATTCAGGTTATTATTTGTCATTATTATACTTCATTCTATCTTTTTGCTCCATTTTTGATGCATCCAGGTTTTGCTTCCTCAAAATTTCATGCTGTTCTGTAAGCAATTCAACCATATTGCTATATCCTTTTACAGCAGTATAAATGGTGTCTACCTCCTGGAAAGAGAGAGAGGAGAAAGAAAGGAGAATCAGAGCAAATTTATTTTACTTTCTTTGTTATTTCTGCTTTTTTTTCTAACTCAAAATACACTTCAATTTTTGAGTCAAACAATTCAGTAACATTTTTTAAGTTCTCCAGCAACTCCTCAACATCATTTTCTTCATCTTCCTCCTTGACACCTTCATCAGATATCTGGAAACAGAGATGGAAAAGAAAGCAATACAGAATCAATAATCAGGAAATACTTATATGAGGCTCATAGAAGTTAAAAGACTACTGAGACAATTAAGGCAACATGCACAATTATGTGCAATTGCACACGTAATTTATGACACATAGTGCAATATCTATGCAAACACAGACTTTAAAACTATATAACTTGCTAAGTTTCTCTAGACCTGAATCAAGGATTATATTGAACCTCTAATTCAGCCAAATACCATTCTCTTACACTAACTTTAGCAAATCTTGATACTGGATGAACCAGCTTCACATCAAGTTTTCGATTATATTGAGATAGAGAAACTTCCCTACATAATAAATAATAATAGCTTTGTTGCACACTGCATGTAGTGAATATACTACAGTAGGAGCTAAAGGAGCTATAATGCTCCGTGATAGGAGCTGCTATAAAGAAATCAAGTGAGGCTAAGAGAGATAGTGGTAAGGTAATAACAATTTGCCATTGGCAATTTTATATCATATTTGCAATTTCGTCATTGAGTACAGACTATAAATAGTAGTAGACTTAGCTATTTTTTGCATACCACCAACAATTTTTCACATGCATAATTACAAATACCAGTATTATTACATAATAATCTAAACCTGTAATGATCAATAAGATCAGGTACACTCCTGTATTGTATTAGACCCGAGAATCCATACATTCCATTTGAGTTTATAATACGGACTAGCTTATTCTGTTCTCCTGTCTTAACTGTCAGTGTATAGGCACCTCCTTCAGAGTCACGTACAAGGAATGAGCCTTCAAGGGCATCTTTTAATTTAGCACGAACTTCCTCTCTGTAAAAGAGGCAGCAAAATCATGTACGTTGACAACATAATAAATTAATTAAATAATTACCTTGATATATTTTGCCAATACCAGCCACATTCTGACAACTGTACAGGAGAAGTAGGAGTGGCTGGAGAAGGTGCATCAGTTTCCTTAAGTGAGGTAGGAACAATCTCTGTACTTCCCGAGGTACTTCCCTTACTAACTCTTACAGGAATGGGAGGAGCACCTCCCACACTACTACTTCTAGGAATAGTTGCATCTTTACCTATGAATAAAAAGTATGCACTGTATTTATCAATAATCTCTTCAGCTATATACCAGGTCTCGCAGGAATGGGAGGAGGAGCATCACCTACACTATAACTTCTAGGAATAGGAAGAGGGTGATTTGCATCTTTGCCTATGAATAAAAATATTCACTGCTATTCATCAATTAATCTCTTTGAGCTATACCAGGTCTCACAGGAATGGGAGGAGGATCACCTGTATCTTTACTTATAGCTGTAATATATGCACTGCTACTTTTCCATCTCTCATGAGCTTTCACAGGAATAGGAGGAGGGCCATTTGCATCTTGAACTATAGCCTGCTTGAGAGCTGCTAAGAAAGTACTGTATAACTTTAATTTCAGTTTAGCAATTGTGGGTAAAGCTGTACAAGCTAGGCAATGCCCTGAAAGCTGATAAGTGATTAACTTGTATTTTGCATTATAGCTGATGTGTTAGTTAATGAATAATTATGTGGCATCATAGATATGCGCATTATTACTCACTTAAAGTTTCATCTTGGTCAGTGTATACTTTGTCCATGTCTTCAATAATCATAGTGTTTCCAATTTTCAGCCAGGTCACTCCCATATCTTTGAGATATGCTATTTTCCTCTTTGCCAGAACTATTAGTGCTCCTATTGCTCGTTCAGGAGCACACATTGTAACAATAATTGATCCTTCTTTAACTTCAAGAAGATGAATCAAATCTCCAAGGTCAGAAAAAACCTCTTTAATAATTTCAAGAAACTCAACAACAGTTGGTGCTGGTGGTCGTGGCCATTGTTTAAACTTAAGAACAATGTTCTTTGCATGAGCTAAATTCTGACGAAGCAGTTCATTTTCTCTTTGCAGCTCGCTGGCAAGTGTGGAGCTACTCAATAGCTTACGATAATTTTCTTCCTCTGCTTCATATTCTTTTATAACTTTAAATCCATCAGCAAGCTCAAAATATTCTGCAATTCGTACTAGCACCTCATAATTGAAGAGAGAGCAAAACTTGCTACGAATTACAAAAAATACTTCGTTAAAATCTTGTGCTTTTTTAAACTCATCTTTGCACTCCTCACGATAAAGGATAACATATTGCTTCAGATCTTCAATGCTGATATTTGCCTCTTCAACTACTTTCTGAAAGTTAAACACTAATCCTGCTAACTTTGAACGCATGCGATCATAGTCTCTTTGTACACTTCGTCCATCAGCAATGATAATCTCTAAATAATATATTTTAGCATAATAAAGTTGTAGGTGGCTAGAAAATAACATTTACCTTTCTGTTGGTCGTTTGCACTTTCTGATTCCTTTGATTCTAATTATAATATATAATAGTTATTGTGCATTCATATTTCAAGTTCTGTTCCAGTGTTTAGTACTTACCCTTAGTTTTGAAGGCTTTTTTCATTTCCTTGGAAACAGCAGTCAGTAGTGGAGGATAATCCTCTAGTGTAGTAAGGAGTTTGTGAAAATTGCTGGGCTCAATGGCAACAGCATGGTATAAATCATTTATAAGCTCATAGCTCTGTGCAAGTGGTATGGTGACGGGAGCATTAACCTTTTGAAGTGTTGAATGAGAAATGAGACCTGCTGAAAATAGTTTCATTGACAACTCTCTGGGCTCAGTGATTGCAGTTTGAAGTCTGCTGGCATATTTTTTCAAAACTTGTAGCTCTTTAGTAGTAGGAATAAAGCATTCTTCTACCATTGCAAAGTTTATGGGCGTGCCTGGCTATTAATTAATTAAGACCACGCCTAATTTTATTCATGTTAATTCACAATGCGCATGCGTGGTAGAATCTCTGAACACGTTGCTGTAGAAAATGGTGAATCTAATCTTTTCTTTATTTTTTCATTCATATTAATTTGTCTTTCTGATAGGTTTTTACAAGGTTCGTGGAAGTAGGTCGTGTAGCCATTATCACAGATGGTCCTGATACTGGGAAACTGTGTGTTATTATTGATGTAGTTGATCAGAAAAAGGTAATATAATGATGATTACTGTTATTGTATTGTAGTGCCTCAGTTTGGTGAATTTCTAAGTTAGTTTAAATCAATCAATTTAGAATTTGTATCTGAAGTTAGGAATATTTTACAAAAAAGCATGGATTTTAGTCTCGTGGGTGGACTCGTGTTAAAGGTTGGCCCACGACTCCGCAAGACTAGCATTTTTAGAAATTGGCCCATTTTAAAAAATGGTCATTCAAAAATTTTATGTCGGAATTCCTTAAACTTTCTGCACAGCATAAGTACGTCAATATGTATCAGAAAATGTAATAAAAATTGGGGGTGATTTCGGGGCAATTTAAAAAAACCATGGGCTATAGTACAGGGATTTTTCACAAATTGGCTCATTTCTTTAAATGGCCATAACTTAAATTTTTGTTGGAATCAGCTCAAACTTTCTACATAGCATAACAACATCAAAAACTGTTAGGATGTTTCGGGTTCATGACTATAATCTGCTCAAGCTTCAACAAACATACTTTTGTCTCTTTGTACACATCCTGTCATTAATACTGATTAGACTCCAAACATTTCATTAATGTATTGCATCATTCCTTATAGCAAGTATGATATTACATCATGTCTTTTACAACTTGTAAAGAATACTTTGCATACTATATGATCTTGTCTTGTTGTTACATAGCCTCTTTTTCCCAACCTTTTTGTATAAGCTAAAGTTAGCAAGTTCTCTTAACACTTTCTCCTGTTTTTCTTACCAGGCATTGATAGATGGTCCAGCTCATGGCGTGAAGAGACAAGCCCTCCAATTCAACAGGATGTCACTCCTGGACTATACGATTAAAATACCCAGATCAGCTCGGGAGAAAACAGTCAAGAAAGGTTTGCTTCGTTTTTTGTAATTATTACTTTTTCTTTGTTCTTTTTTTAAAAGCCTGGGCAGCAGCTGAGATTGATAAGCAGTGGGCGGAGTCATCAAGGTACAAGAAAACTGAGCTACGCAAGAGAAGAGCTGCCCTGACCGACTTCCAGAGGTTCAAAGTGAAACTCCTTAAGAGAGAGGTACAATGGAACTGTTTCTTTGAAAAAGCATGTGGTATTATCTGTTTCTTTTTCTGTTTACAGAGACAGCGGATCATAAGAGGAAAAGAAAAGCTTATTCAAAAGGGGAAATAAACTTTAATATTATTATTATGGTCTCTCTTTTCAAGATATTAAAATTATTTCAGCAGCCTTTGAAGTGGGAACATAAAAGATGTGCCGATTCATTATAAGCCACACCTATGAGGCACGCCTATAATGAGCAAAGTCACTCTGAGGTGACCTTGTTAGTCTGTGACTCGGTTACGGTTAGTTCTGGTGGCAGAGCATGGCTGATAAAGAGACTGCCCTCCCGCTGGACTCTTCTGAAGTACCCAAACACATTCTCATCTCGCCCAGTCCCTCAGAAAGATCCCTGGCCGCTCCTGAGAACAGTAATGATGAATCACCTCACCTGTTTCCCGGTCCACTCTGGCCTTTAGATGATATAGACTGTACGGGCTCCCTAGCAGCCAATACACCTACTGATGCCTCTCCTAGAGGAGACGCGGGAGAAGAGGCTAGACGTTTCTCCATATCATCCTGCTGCCGGGCTCCTTGCTGCAGCAGTTGCTTACGTTGTGGGAGATTCACAGCACCGATTGTTCTCTTCTGTCTTATTTCTGTTGCCTTTGTGGCATTAGGCCGAGGCTATCTTACCCAGTTACTCTCTTGGCTGGAGAACTTACCTCTCAGCATAAGCTTGATAGTATTCATACTTCTATTTACCCTCATCTCCTTCCCATTCGGTTTTGGCTACATAATCCTTAACACAACTGCTGGTTATTTGTACGGATTAGTTAGAGGACAGGCAATCATCACTGTCTCTGTCGCTATCGGCTTCACGGTCGCTTTTCTACTCTGCAGGAGCTGTCTCCGTGATTGGTCCTCTCAATATCTCTCTAATCCTACTTTGCTAGCATTGATGCGCGTGGTGGAGGGCCCTCATGGTCTCAAAGTTATCATTCTCACTCGATTCACTCCTGTTCCCTTTGGTCTTCAAAACTCGCTATTTGCTGTAAGTTAATGTTCCATCATGTATGCATGTCTGGCTTGTTTATTCACCTGTGAATAAGTATGATGCATTCATTAACTGCATAGCTCAGGCTATTATTGACCTTTTTTCACTCAATAAACAGTGTAGTAGTAGAAGTAATGACCCTATTCCTCCATTGATTCCTTTTGGTGTATTATGTCAGACATCATAATGGTGTCATATGATCTAGGCTTAGGTGGTGTTAATCACCAGAGGGTCAATTTTGGTGGGTGGTTTTCTCAATAGGGCCAGTTTTGAATTGCCTTTTATTAATGATAATAATGTATCCTTCTCTCCTTTTTCTCCAGATGACCAAAGTAAAGTTTTCAAAGGTTTTCATAGGCTCCGTAATAGGACTCTTTCCAACTCAACTCCTCAACACTTACATGGGTAGTACAGTTAGAAATATGAAAGAGATTTTAGCAGATCGAGCCGATGGCTATATCATTTTGATATTACAGATAGTAGTTACAGTCGTTTTATCATTATATGTTGTGCACAAGGCAAAACAAGAATTGACCAAGATAACAAAAACTCATGACCTTGAATCTGGCCTGCCAGAAGATAGATAGTAACTTAGTTCCTCTTATTATTTATTATTATTATTTCTAATTATTATACTATTACCGTCATTGTTTTCAAATTACTATCTGTAATGAATAGATAGCAATTCTAAAAACATATCTAATATGATTATTTATTGTCATAACATAATAATATAAGTATCATGTTACCTGTTTCTTTATTTTTACTACTATAGTCAATATCAAATTGAATATCATCAGTTAAAGGGAGGTTATGACAAATAAAAAATAAATCTTTCCGTTATATCGTCCAGAAATTAGCTAGTGATCATTTTCGTCTTCTCTTCCCAAGTACTTTCATATCCTTGAATCTAAGAGTAAAATAAAATAATTGCTAACAAGGTAATTGGTACAATATTTACACATAATACTATCAGCATATCTTGGTATATGATTGATTCCAAGTTCACCTTTTTGCAACCTCAAGAGCTTTAACTGAAACCTCTCTCTCATCTTCCTCCATTAGCTCACCATCACTCTCATCTCCACATTTTCTTCTGTATTCAACCATAAGACGCTAATAAAGGAAATGCAGTGGCTGACATCAAGCATGCAGCTATAATAACACAATACCAGATGATTTTTGTAGCATGTGTACCAAGGCAAAGGCTGTAGTACATGACTTACAGTACAATGGCTTGTGTGGGTAGATACTGATTGTAGTGATAACAGATGTGACAAAAAAGGTTAATGGCAGTAGTGATAAGAGATAGTAATACAAATTGGGTAGCCTTTCTTGTCACTCAGCAAAGCGTGAATAAGTAGGATAAGTTGTAATGACATTTGAGCTGCTTATGTCAATATATCCTCTACTACAGCATGTCAAGCTCAGTTCTACCAGCTCTGTGGTTCTACTCTACAATAGTCACATGCTAGCAAGAGTAGATGCTAATCAATACAACAGCCCATGAGTTAATCAATTTACACTCTGTACATATAAGGACATAATTACGTACACACCATGATTGCATTAATTTACCTCAACATCTTTATTATAAGAATTGAATGAGAATCGTCCAAGCTCGTTAAGTTCTTCAAATTTGACATAGGAAGTGTCTACGGTATGAATCTTTGGTGGAGCGGAGGGTTTCTTAGGAGGATCCTTTACGACCCACTTATCAGTTAATGGTCCACCAGAATCAAAGTCTATCTGATCTGTGGAGTGTCTCTTCATGAACTATAAGGAGGAGGAGGAGGAGGAGCAAAGGGAGGAGAAATGGAGTTAGGGATTAAAGCTAGTACATATTCAGCAGTAATTGAATTAAAAATATTTGTTTATGTAAATTATGCACTGTCAGTTGACTCGCCTTCATTTCAGCTACTGCTCTCGATAAATCATGCTTCTCTGGATTTGCCATGTCAAATGTGTACACGTGTTCATGAATTATTCATGAGCTCGTTAAGTCATGAATAAGAAATTAGATCTAATGAATATTAATGAATTTCTTCTGACCAATCACATTCTCCAAATGCCGAATGGTGCTTAACGACAGCGGGGCAACGGGTCGTAGCTAATAGCAACCAGTTTCCATGGATCTCCGCGCGTTGACGTGTTCAAAAGTAACTGACACACCTCACAAATCTCACCACATTTCATTGCTGGTGTCTCTGCCTCCTTGCCTCCTGTTTTCGTCTTTGCTCTTCACTTTTGCTTATTTATTTCTCTCAAAGCAAAATGCGTGAGATAGTTCACCTTCAAGCCGGCCAATGCGGCAACCAAATTGGTGCAAAAGTAAGGATTGAGTGAAACTCAGGCCCGCCATTATTATTTTCTTGCCTCATTAGTTTTGGGAGGTCATCTCAGATGAGCACGGTATCGACCCAACTGGTACCTATCATGGTGACTCCGACCTCCAGCTCGAGAGGATCAACGTTTACTATAACGAGGCCACTGGTGGAAAATACGTCCCAAGGGCCGTCCTTGTGGATCTTGAGCCAGGAACCATGGACTCCGTCCGCTCTGGACCTTTTGGACAAATCTTCCGACCTGATAATTTCGTTTTTGGTGAGTCTCTTCATGCTTTTTAGAATTTTAAATTTTTATATAATTTTTAATAGGTCAAAGTGGAGCTGGTAACAACTGGGCCAAAGGTCACTACACCGAAGGCGCTGAACTAGTCGACTCCGTTCTAGATGTTGTTAGGAAAGAGGCTGAGAGTTGCGATTGCCTCCAAGGGTTCCAACTCACCCACTCTCTTGGCGGTGGCACTGGCTCTGGAATGGGTACTCTTCTTATCTCCAAGATCCGTGAGGAGTATCCCGATAGAATCATGAATACATTTAGCGTCGTTCCATCTCCCAAAGTATCCGATACTGTGGTTGAGCCCTACAACGCTACACTCTCTGTACATCAACTGGTTGAGAACACCGATGAAACCTTCTGTATCGACAATGAAGCTCTGTATGATATCTGTTTCCGTACCCTTAAGCTCACTACTCCAACTTATGGCGACTTGAATCATCTTGTTTCTGCTACAATGAGTGGCGTTACCACTTGCCTCCGTTTCCCTGGTCAGCTTAACGCTGATCTCCGTAAACTTGCCGTTAACATGGTGCCCTTCCCACGTCTTCACTTCTTCATGCCTGGTTTTGCTCCACTCACCAGCCGTGGCTCCCAGCAATACCGTGCTCTCACTGTTCCTGAACTTACCCAGCAAATGTTTGACGCTAAGAACATGATGGCTGCCTGTGACCCACGTCACGGACGCTACCTCACCGTTGCCGCCATGTTCCGTGGTCGCATGTCCATGAAGGAAGTTGATGAGCAAATGCTCAACGTCCAGAACAAGAACAGCTCTTACTTTGTTGAGTGGATCCCCAACAACGTCAAGACTGCCGTTTGTGACATACCTCCCCGCGGACTCAAGATGTCTGCCACTTTCATTGGAAACAGCACAGCCATCCAGGAGCTGTTCAAGCGTATCAGCGAGCAGTTCACTGCTATGTTCCGTCGTAAGGCTTTCTTGCATTGGTACACTGGAGAGGGTATGGATGAGATGGAGTTCACTGAGGTGAGCAGACTGGGATTGTTTGTAACAAATAGATTTGTTATACTCCATTAGTTAAGCATTAGTCTAACAGTGTGGGCATTAGTACTTATGTTATGGCCTTAGCATCATTCATTAGTCCGACTGTTTTTATTTGATTACCGTTTGTGTATTTTTGTGTAGCTTCGGTTGCACTTGTTGATAATCTCTTCCTCTCTCTCTCTCTCCATAGGCTGAGTCCAACATGAATGATCTTGTTTCAGAGTACCAGCAATACCAGGAAGCCACTGCTGATGATGAGGCAGAGTTTGATGAGGAGGAGGAAGAGGAGGCTGCCTAAGCTGACCCTTTGCTGTTAACACCCTCTACTATTAAAATAACTTGTCCATATGTTATCTCTGATCTTGTCTTAGTAGCTCTTACTTATCATTATTACAAGATTTTAAAAACACAAAAATTAGATTTAGTACTGTTATGATTATTTTGAAGTTAACTTATTTTGAAACCAATAACAGTGAAATAGGAATGGCGTTTGTTGTTTTGTTAGTGTATACCCCAAGCCTCTTCAAAAGCAGAGCATATCTTTGTACAGGTGAGGGCAGCAGATAATGGATACTCACTAATAGCAATCTCCTGATCAGTATAGTCAACAGAAACCTGTAATGAAAATACAAATCTAATAATGGCCTTCATTTAATCTAAAAGTGTGGCTATGACCACTACCTTTCCATGAGCCATAGCCCCAACCACAAACACCACAGGGCCATCTCGAGCAAACTGCCCCACTCTCAGACACTGCTCAGCATTGAAAGAAGTACCTATCCTCCTACAACCTGTTGGCAAGTGATCGGTGATGGGATTCTTGATAACCTTTCATACAAAAAAAATAATCCATTATTTTCATTATTCCTGCTCTACCTTCATTAGTTTCATGGGTCCATCTGCAGCGTGTATACTCAATTTGTGTAGCAGCTGAACTGGAGGGAATAAACAAGTGGAAGAACAACAGGTGTCTCAACATACACTGCCCAGCACTAATCACTATAATTAGACTCACTCTCTCACACGTAGCTAATCCCAAATCACCATCTCTTACCCATTAGGCCACAAAATCTATCAAATGTCCGGGGTACTCTCGTTTGAGGATGTACCTCAATTAAGACGTTTCTCTCCGTGTGAATGTATATTTGTAGCATACCAGCTCTATTGAGAGGGCTGTCAAGCAGCATCATCAAACACTATTTAATAAAGGTGAGGTTATTGATGGAAAGAGGAAGAGAAAGAGGATGATATCATTGTGGTATGATACTGTTTCTGTGTGTGGTTATCAGTTCACAGCACCTGGTGAGTAATGTCTGGCCTTGCTGCTTCACGACCATATTTGGCTATCTGGGACTTGTGTTTGTCAGAATTCAGCAACTCAAAGTTCTTTCCAATCTACCGAAAACACTAACATAAAAACAGTAAAACACAGTTCAATATATTCCCATTAGATAGTCAGCATGGACACACTAATAACAAGCATACCCACACATGTACATGCATCAACTTTTTCTGATTAATCCCATAAGGAGAGCTAGAGTGTACATTAGCATTATGCATTACACAAAGGAGCAGTATGACAAGTGACAAATAAAGGAATTAGAGGCACTCGGTGCCAAACACAACAATTTGCTAATGAATATTACCCAATACACACAATGTGGCGACATTTGCTAAAATGCAATCAAAATAGCAGCTAATTGTGATTTATATTTGGCACCTTGTTTGACATCATTATTACGTCATAGAGTCTGAAATTACATTCAAAGCATTTTTATGAAGAATCAGTCAAACAGGGTTTCCCTTTAGGATTTTGGCATAGTGCTACTTTTCCTGATACATGTTCTGATCAAGATTGGATTTTTAATGAATTTTTAAAGTTGCTCCAAATGCCATGTACTGTATTGTAGTGCTTGTCAGCTCATGAAGTTTAGCTCACTTAGCATGCTTCTTGGAAACCCTGCGATCAGACATGTTACTATGTTAAAATGCTTTTGACTATTTGTAAAATTCTGTTCTTGAGACGAAATGGTAGAACAGCAAAGAATTTTGTTGGACAATTGAGCAAAATGATCAGAAAATGTCCGATGCCCGACTGTTATTTTACGCTTTGAATCATACTTTAATAGTTTCCAAGTTTGCTCTCTCTAGGACTAGTACTAGTCTTTTCTGTGAGTCCTTCTCTTTTAATGTCTTTGGAATCTTTTTTGGTCGGCCATCTTCTTCATCTTCATCATAATTGTTCTGTACTCTTTTTGTTGCCATTGCTTTACACGTGGTAGGCCGTGAACACTATGTTAACGGGTTAAAATTAAGGTAGCCACGCCTACTGTCATGGCGGGAGTTGGAGAGATTGGTGTGCATTCTTTTATGGAGACTATTGAAGAGGAGAGAGTTCATTTTCATGTTTTGAGACTAAAGGACAGTTTTATTTTGTGGATTGGGACAGAGCTGAATATGAAATCACTCTCAGTTGCAATGAAAAGCAGAACAGTGAGTGAAAATAAAGCGGGACAGAAATGCAATTTTACCTCGAATTTTGCACAAAATATTTAATGTTCCACACTACTACAGAGTGATGAAGTAATCTCAAGTCAGTTATTAGGACCAACTAATGACATTGCTTCAACGGCAATGGCACAAAGGCTGGGTAGGTTTGTAATCATGATTATTTTTAGTTTTAAATTTTTATAAACATTTAGCAAGGAAGACTGGTTGTCAGTGTTTTGTTAGTGTATCACTGACTAATCAGACATTAATACAAGGAGCAGAAGCAGCTCTACTTGCTGAACTAGAGTCAAATCAATCATTGTTCTATATATCGTGACAAAAACTGTGTTGCTTTGTCATTTGATCAATTTCAAAATTAAAACTGTCATAATATTAATGTACAGTAGAATGATGACTTCCAATTGCTTAATTGTTGCATTTTCATCAATAATAATAATAATAATAATAATACAGTAGAATCATATCCAGTTTTAGTACATAATTGATAAAGAGTATTCTACCATAGTAATGATAATAATAATAATAATTAAACTAGTTGTCTAATGGTGCTTGTGCTTGAATACGCTATGATTTATTCAGCTTGTCCAATCACTCCTGCATAAAAGAGAGAACAATGGAATTAATGACACAGTAGTAGGAGCCAGGTGTATGTGAACAGAGAAGTAACAATGGTGTCTTTTAGAATACACTTTTAAAGTGTCTTCATTCAGCAAGATGAAGAGTTCATTTTAATACATTTTCTGATGCTCTATGCTTAAATTTATCTTAAATTTATGCATTTTCTACTAGCAATTAAAGTGACAAAGACTGGTGTTAGATTTTAATGGCTTACTTGTTTCGCCTGTTGGTTTACCCTTGTCCCACCTCACAGCTTTCATTCCACTCTCTTCAGCTTTTAGTGCCTGCTGCTGTACCTCAGGCTTTAATGCTCTCCGGAGCAGCCTGGCGCAGAGACTTGAATACTGAATATAACTAGAAAAACAAAATGGCTGACTTTCAATGCTGTCATTAAAAAAATTGAAATGTTAAGAACACAAGCTACAATATGCAAAAGTACGTTAATGTATGATGCTTTAGAGGAGACTGGATAGCTTACTTCATGCCTGCTAGTCTCCAGTAAGAAGTCATTCTGCTTTTGAGTCAATCAAAAGGGGGAACGCTATGGCTGTCCAAACAATGGGCGTGGCTAATTACAATGGGCGTTCCTAATCTTTCCGTATACTATTACTTCCGGAAATCTTGCATAATAATTAATAAAAAAATAATTCTTTCTATTTTTTATTATAAAAAGTAAAACAATAATAATAAAAATAATTATTCAGATTGTCATTGGACCAGGACCAACTCTTGTGTGTATAATGTACTGCAGTGAGCCTGGCTTCCATGGTAATAACCCAATACCATTAATAGTAGTCTGCATATGAAAAACAGAATCAAAATTACATTAAAAAATAAATAAATTTTCAAATACTTTTGAGGGAGTAGGAGGTACAGCTTGACCTGCAGACACTCCTCTAATGTAACTAATAAAAGAAAATTACTATTGTAGATATTATATTATTATGATACTTTTCTGCTCCGGGGTTAGGAGGAAGGTAATGCTGTACCAGACCCAGTATCTCCCCAATATTCCCCCCGGGGGTAAAAAGAACTGCATTGGGTCCTGCATCAAAAGTATAAGCAAGTCTTGGTGAGGAGTAAAGTAAGTTGTATGCAGTGACTAGCTGTACAATGTACTTGGATGCATCATTCATGTACATAATAGGAGGATATGAGTCAAGACACACTGCATGAAACTGATTACTGTCCTAAAAAATAAATATAAGAAATGACAGATTTAAAATTGCTATTGACGCTAAATTTACACCTCAAATTGCAGTCAAATTTAATTACAAAGTACATGTAGTAGCTATACTTTCATTGTTAGTGTCGCAAATGTTGAAAAATCCTTTTCTTTTATTGCTTGCTTCATCTCATCCATTCTAGCAGGGACTACATTATTAGCTCTAAACTAACGAAAGGAAGAAGGTTGCAGCATTAAATGATGCATTTTTCTTTACATTAATAAGTGAACTGGTTTCAACTGAAGTCCTCATTCCGCTAGTACTGCTAACGGTCTTCTTTTGCTCACTGACCACTAGTATAAGTACTTGTAAATCAGGCCAATGCATATCAGGACATACCTATAAATAGAAATGAAATAATTATAAGAAAAAAATTGTTTTTCTTATAATAAAAATGCTAATAAGTCAAAGGATTCTTATCAGAATCATCTCAAACATTTTGCATAGCATAAGGACATCAACATGTATAAAAAAATCTAATAAAAATTAGGAGTGATTTTGGAGCCATTTTTTCTAAAAAAAACCATGGGCTATAGTACAGTGATTTTTTCAAAAATTGGCTCGTTTTTTTTAATGGCCGTAACTCGAAAAATTAATGTCGGAATTGACTCAAACTTTCTACACAGCATAAGTACATCAATATGTATCAGAAAATGTAATAAAAATTGGGGGTGATTTCGGAGCCATTTTTTCAGAAAAACCATGGGCTATAGTACAGTGATTTTTTCAAAAAGTGGCCTGTTTTTTTAAATGGCCGTAACTCAAAAAATTTAAGTCGGAATTGGCTCAAACTTTCTACACAGCATAAGTACATTAATATGTATCAGAAAATGTAATAAAAATTGGGGGTGATTTCGGAGCCATTTTTTCGGAAAAACCATGGGCTATAGTACAGTGATTTTTTCAAAAAGTGGCCTGTTTTTTTAAATGGCCGTAACTCAAAAAATTTAAGTTGGAATTGGCTCAAACTTTCTACACAGCATAAGGACATCAACATGTATCAAAAAATGTAATAAAAATTTAGGGTAATTTCGGAGCCATTTTTTGAAAAAAACCATGGGCTATAGTACAGTGATTTTTTCAAAAATTTGCCCATTTTTTAAAAATGACCGTAACTCGAAAAATTTAAGTCGGAATTGACTCAAACTTTTTACACAGCATAAGGACCTCAATATGTATCAAAAAATGTAATAAAAATTTAGGGTAATTTCGGAGCCATTTTTTGGAAAAAACCATGGGCTATAGTACAGTGATTTTTTCAAAAATTGGCCCATTTTTTTTAAATGGCCGTAACTTGAAAAATTTAAGTCGGAATTGACTCAAACTTACTACACAGCATAAGGACATCAATAGGTATCAGAAAATGTAATAAAAATGGGGGGTGATTTCGGAGCCATTTTTTGCAAAAACCATGGGCTATAGTACAGTGATTCTTTCAAAAAATTGGTCCATTTTTTTAAATGGCCGTAACTCAAAAAATTCAAGTCAGAATCAGCTCAAACTTTTACACAGCATAAGAGCATCAATATGTAGCAGAATATGTAATAAAAATGGAGGGTGATTTTTTAGAGCCATATTTTTGGGAAAAAACCATGGGCTATAGTACAGGGATTTTCCTGTTTCTTACTTGTTCAGCAATGCTATCCTCTCCATCTTCCCTCTCTCCTTTCTCCCATGACACAAAGCCTCCATACACACTCCTACAGGCACTTCCAGATCCTTGCCTTGCTATTACTGATATATCAACATCTTTTAAACCATAAACTTGTGACAAACAATATACTATAAAGATGTTAAAAATATATAATTCGCTGCTCCTCCTCCTCTCTCTCTCAAGATTACCTAAACAAGCATACCCAGCTGCAGATGATGCTAAACCAGCTGCAGTAGGAAAATTATTTTCGGAGCGTATTTGAACGTGTCCCTCTAAATAGGAAGGATCAATTGAGCAAGTTTTTGTAGCTAATCTTCTAACTGAAAAATATTTATAATCTGCTTAATCAGAAAAGTCGTTACTTTCTCTCAAACATCTTTGAATCCTTGGATTAGAAATGTCTTCTTCTCTTGATAAAAAAATGCAAAGTTAATCTCTTTTATTCCTCCTCTCTCTCATTACTTGTCATTAAGCCACATCTGGTCTTCATCAAAAGAGGAGCTTAATGTTATCATAGTCTTAGCCCTGAGCTAATAATAATAATAATAATAATAATAATAATAATAATAATAATAATAATAATAATAATAATAATAATAATATATTATTATTATTATAATTATTGTCAAAATGCTATATTACTTCATTTTGATGCAATGTGACTGATAGAGATGAGTTTATTGGTAAAATTAATTCCTCATTCCTTTTTCCCCCTAAAACAAGACATACCATGCAGCTACATAAGTGTGGGCTCCATTGAATAATGATTTCTCTTACAGTATTTTATGACTGCAATATTAACTGGGGCTGTACAAGTAAAACTTCTATCCTTCAACTCTATTCCAGCCATTAAAACACAGGGATGCCAGGAATATCAGGCCATTGACTGGAAGATCAAATATCAGACCATCCAGCCACACCCTTTCCTTTAAGGAGGAAAACCCAACCCATTTGTAGGTGTGCGAATCATTGAATGATATGAGGGAACAAACTGAAGGTAAAGCCACACTGAATACTTTAGTCCTTTTATTACTAGTAATGATTGTAGATCTGATAGCTTTTGAGAAGAGACTCACAGAATGTGTCGGCTATATGGAGAACAAGTCCACTAAATGGAGAGGTATGGGTGTACATAATTCCTATTAATTCGTAGGCACTCTCCTCATTATGTTGTATAATTTTTATTTCCCAGTTATAATGGTTTTTTCAGTTATCTTTGTTCTGTTCTCGGTGTGGAAAGCATGGAGAGATGAAACAAGATATGTAAGTTGCATATTCCTTAACTCAGTAAAAAATAAATACATAACACCAAGAGTGTTCTTATCGTGTCATTTCAGGATACTGTTGTTGATTATTTTTGGGCACACAAAGCATTGTCAGTGAGCATAGCTATTCTCTTTCTCCTCTGTCTGTTTGGTGGGTTCCAGAAAAGCAGAGGAGCTAAAGTGTAAGCCATCCATTACAATATAGTTCAATATATATTTTATCAATGTCTAATTTTGCAGGGTAACCCAAAGATGTAGGAATGTATTAAGAAACTATAACATGTCGTGTGATGAGGTAAGAAGGAACTTGGAAAATGAAGATAATTGTTTCCTATGATTCCAGCAAGGGAAGCTAATATTGAAAAGACCAACAAGATGACCTAAGAATTGAAGCAATTAATGCAATGAAGCACACATTCAAAATGACACTTAATAAGAGAAAGAATCATCACTCTATTTTTTGTATTTTATAATTATTACAAAGAACATTATATAATTAATGACAAGTATTTTCAACTCAATCATACAACACTTACAAAGCAGCTTCAATTGTGCCGATTATACAATGATTGTATCATAAAAGAAAAGGAAGCAAGGTTTATCAAGGCCCATTGTCTTTATTTATAATGTGTGCATGGATTAACATAACAAGTGAATGAATGAAAGGTAGACCTTCTTCAGTATTACATTATACTTTACAAGAAAGGGTCAAAAATGTCAGAAAAAAGATAAAGTTGCAAAAAATCCACAAAAGACCTTCATTTTAATTTACCAGCTCTCGGTCGAGGGACGTCCCCCAAGAAAACTGCTGGAGAAACGATTACCATAAGGAGGACGGGCCTGCATGGGGTCCCCCTGTGGACGCTGTCTTGGAGAGGTGGGACGATTAAAGTCCCTTCTAGCAGTAGCAGCCATTCCTGCAGCAGAGAGGGGAAGAGGAGCAGCAGAAGATCTAGTGTAATCATCATATTCTTTTCTTTGCTGAGGAGACCGTCTTCCATAATGATCCACTGGATAGGAAGAAGAGAGAGAGGCAGATTGTGGAAGTCTGTGATTGCCTGCATAATAAGCATTGGGGTCATCCGGACCATCGTATAACGTGCTCATTTCTTGTTTCAATTCTCTCTCAAGAGCAAGTATTCTTTGCAGGCGTCTCTCTCTGTCAGACAGGTTAACATCGGAGTGAGTAGGTAAAGGATAATCCCCTCCACCTCCTCCTCCTCTTAGGGGATAGCTTGATCTGTGAGAGGGAGGAGGAGGGAGGGAAGGAGGGGGAGACGAGGACTGAAGAGGAGGGAGCCTTTTGACTGGGCAAAGAAAAGAGTGTTAAGAAAAAGAAGATAATGATAAAGTGGATAAAGATGTACAACATGCAGCATAAAATGAAGAGAAACAATCAACTTACCCAGCAATAAATTAAGAAAAGTATACTAAAAACACATGAATGAGCATGAAAATGAACACTAAGGCAATCTTTTATTAAAAAGGTGGTGATACTAAAGATCAAGGTATTGGTATAATAAGCAAGAAAGATAAAAAGGGCAGACTATAAAGGATAAAGAAAGGATAGGAACCTTCCAATAATCTTAGAGAAGACTATTATTAAGCATAAGGACAGGATCCTTCCAGCCTAATTTAGGACAAAGAGGTACTTTTAAGATTGATGGACTATTAGTCAAGAAATAAAGGCTCTTAGAAGAAAACAAGTGTGAATGCATTTTATTTAAATATTTACATCTTGCTCCTGCTTTTAAAGCTGCAGAAGAAAACTCCACATCTAATGAGAAGAGAGAGAGAGAGAGAGAATATCACATAATAAAAAGATAAAAGACTCACTAATCTTGCAGCCATTCAATGTTGCCCCATTCTCATAATTAACAGCTCTGTTGGCACTCCTCTCACTGTCCATTTGTATAAAACTGTAGCCAGAGTGTATAGAAACAGCAACCACATCGCCATGTTTGCAAAACACTGATATGAGGTCATTCCTTGAGACAGCTCTGGCGTCCACGTTTCCTACGAAAAGACGAGCTTTTCGCATGTGATCCTCCGATCTCTGGGTGTTGTTACTGACGCCATCAATCTTCCAGTCACGCCCCGAGAAATGTGGACTCCTTTCAAGGGAATTGATTTAATCAAGCGATAGATTATTTTAAAATATTGGTAATTATTTAATAATCCTTCGACATCATGCATCAACTTTAATTTTCGAAAATTGGACCAAAATCCCTGTACTATAGTACAGGGATTTTGTCCAAATTTCGCCAAAAATAAAAAAGAGAGAATTTCCCATTTTTTACAACTTTTCCTGATATATATACATGTTCTTATGTTGTGTAGCAAGTTTAAGCTGATTCTGATCAAAATTGGAGTTTTTATGAATTTTTAAAAGCTGCTCCAAAATCGAGCCAAAGTCCCTGTACTATAGTACAGGGTCTTGGGTCAAATTTCGCCAAAAATGAAAAGAAGAGGATTCTCCATTTTTATAATTTTTCCTGATACATATACATGTTCCTATATTGTGTAGCAAGTTTGAGCTGATTCTGACCAAGTTTGGATTTTTTTATGAATTTTTAAAGTTGCTCAAAAGCCACATGCTGTGTAATGCTTGGCTGTTTAGCTCACATAGTATGCTTTGTGAGAAACCCTGCCTGTTTAACTGACAATATGGATTAGCTTATGATATCCCCGTATCATGTAAAGCTCCCCTTTACAATAAAGCAGATTCCCATTCCCTCCCACACAATTTTATTGGCTCATTAAAATAACTTGATAAAAGCAAGTCTCTTCTAACCTTGATCTCCCTCTCCTCCCTCCCCCTCTGTCCTCTCCTCCTCTTCCATATCTTGAGTTCCTCTTGTTATTTGGAGAAGGAGGAGACCTGCTCATGATGGCCACAGGAAAGAAACACGAGTTCTCTTAAAATGGCGCCAAAGAGGGAGGGGCTATGTGTGTGGGCGTTAATTAAAGTAGGATGTGGCTTTGGGTGGAGTCTGCCTCGTGTAAAGACTTTCGTGCTCCATAAAAGTTTTTGCTTGATTATTATTTTTTAATAGTTGATAGAGCCCTGGGATAAGTATGAGTGGACGATATGATAGCGCCCTGACTGTATTCTCTCCCGATGGTCATTTATTTCAAGTGGAATACGCCCAAGAAGCAGTCAAGAAAGGCTCCACAGCTGTAAGAACAAAAATAATTTGTAAATTTAATAAAACAATAATTAGTGTTTATTAATAATGGTAGTATTATTAATATATATTTATTGCAATAGGTTGCAGTTCGTGGTGTTGACACAGTTGTCCTTGCTGTAGAAAAGAGAGCTTTAGCAAAATTACAAGATGCTCGAACTGTTAGAAAAATTTGTTCAATTGATGACCACGTCTGCCTAGCCTTTGCTGGTATGCTGGTATTAAATATACTAAAAATTAAATAGTAAAAAATATTGTGTAAAAAATTTTTTAGTATCTGTTTTGCCTATGTAAATCTACCGTCTATCCTTATCCATTTTCCATATTTTATTTTTCTTTCTCTTCCTTAAGGTTTAACTGCTGATGCCCGTGTGTTGGTCAATATAGCTCGTGTTGAGTGCCAGAGCCACAAACTAACTGTGGAGGATCCTGTCACTGTGGAATACATCACACGACACATTGCAACAGTCTGTCAGGTAGAAAAATAATTATTATTTTTAAAATTAAACGATAGCCATAACTTTAATTTGCTGGTCATCTTTTATTTTGACGAAATATTTTTTCTTTGTAGCGTTACACACAAAGCAGTGGTGCAAGACCATTTGGTATCTCCCTCCTGATGGTTGGTTTTGACGAGGGTAAGACCCCTAAACTATACCAGACCGAACCTGCTGGTACCTATCATGAATGGAAGGTACAGGAGAGTGTCATGTGACTGTCATGTGATCTTGTTAATAGGCAGCTGCTACTGGTCGGAGTGCAAAGACTGTGAGAGAGTATTTGGAAAAGAATTATTCAGAGGAAACTGTAGCTACTAAAGATGATACAATCATTTTAGCTCTAAGAGCACTGCTGGAGGTTATCTATTCAATTTATTATGCATATATGGTCATTTCAAGAAATGGGCCAATTTCTAAAAAAATACCTGTACTATAGCCCATGGTTTTTTCCAAAAAATGGCTCCGAAATCACCCCCCAACTTTCTGATGCATATTGATGTACTAATGTTGTGTAGTCTGATATGCAGTTACATGTACATGTTTATCAGGTTCATATGTGAATGACTATTGTTGACTGATAATCTTTTTAGGTGGTACAGTCTGGTGGTAAAAGTGTAGAACTAGCATACATGGAGAAGGGGAAACCATTAGAGGTAAAAAAAGGAGAAAGAGAATGCTTGTTATTATTATTATTATTATTTTACAACAAAAGGGAAATTGTTATTTTATGACTAATAAATTTCTCCTTCAGTTTCTTGAACCAGATGCTATTGAGTCTTACATGAGCAGGATTGAAAAGATAAAAGAGGAGGAGCTTGAGAGAAAGAAGACAAGACGTGAGATGCCAGCTGCAGCTCCGACCTCATCACGTCCGGAATTTGCCTCAGTATCGGACTAGGCCAGTTAGACATTACATTTTAATAACTTATCAATGATAATAATAACTAGTTGTTAGGCTATCGTGTATTATTAGAGATACTTTTAATATCCCTGTATTACTGTGCGAGGTGATCATGTTGAAAGTATGAAAATTATGATAAAGGAATTCAAATTGCTTAATGTTTGGTGATCAAAGTGTTCAATTTGCTGAATTTATGGCCATGTGCCATTGACCATGCACATAATAGTTCAAAATGGTGTGTTTTATTTTAGCAAGTGATCCTCTAAAAGTACCAGGTATATGATAACTATTGATGAGAACTTACCTTACAATAGTGAAGATAAGAAATGTTTCGTTTGTTCATCAAATGTCATCGAAAGCTTTATTTTGGTAACCATAAAAGTATTCCTTGTATATCAAACCTTGAAATTTGTTATGGTAATCATACAGTAGTTAAAATGAACAACAAAACATCATTGTGGAATTCTTGTATACAATACATAAGCTATTGCTGTTTGCCTTGTAAAACATGAAGTAAGTTTTTGTCTCAACTATCATTTTCAGTTCCAGTAATGATAGATTATAAATACTGGGTCTAAAATAGTAGCTACAACGTAGTATACTGCCTGTATGCATTCTAGAATGATTTATTCATACTGTCTGCTGGTTTTCATTTTGTACACTTGTTCTAACTCATCTCCAGTGGATATCATTCATAATGTCACTGATTGATGTATTTGATTCAGCAAAGGTCTACAAAGAAGTCAAAGGTGAAATGATAGTCTGGTATAACAGTGGAGCTGTTGATTATGGAAGCACAAAGCACATGTGGCTAATGATAGTAACATCATTAGTAGTGGGGGTCATCCTGACACCATACTTTGTATTGATACTGTTTGGTAAGTTCCTATTAAGTTTCGATCGAGTTAGAGAATACATTCGTCCATTTTATGAAGCAATCCATGCTCCATACAAGCCCAACAGGTGGTATTGGTTCTCATTGTATCAATTTTTTCTGCTCCTGGTGTATTCATCAGAGACTTTTGCAGTTAATACAGGACCAATGTTTCTAGTGCTTTTCATCATATACAATGTATTCATATACCTCCAGACCTGCTCAATGCCCTTTAAAAATAAAGCCCTCAATTTGCTTAACCTTTTCTTGCTTTTGGTTTTAAACTTCGTTATTGTAGTTGGTGTATACATTTACTTCATAAATGGCTACACCTCAAAGTACTTGGTGCTGTTTTTTTTGCTTTTTCAAATTACTTCTTCGTTTTGATATTTTGTCTCGTAATGGTGTACCATGTCCTATTGTCTACAAACAGATTGGATAAGGCTATTGTCTTGTATCGAAAGGTTTCTTCATTTTGTCGTCGCAGAGAACCTGTCGTTCATCATTCTCAAGATTATCCTCAAGTACGAGAGCCACTCCTTGAAGACATTTTTGACTAGTTAAATATTATTATAAACATGATGTTGTAGACTATAGAGTATTTTTATTTTCAAAGCATCATTTGTAGAAATAATTATTCATTTCTAGTATATTAAAGGTCTAATGAATACATAGTGCATAGTTATGCACCATGCAGGTGCAGTCCCATGCAATGAGCTGACAAAGTGTGTACATTGTGCTTATTATTCACCACTTGCCTGCTATAGAGATGAGTGGGTCTAGATTTAGCTCTACTGCAGGAGGTGCTTCTGCTAAAACTTTCCATCATGATATCAAAACACAGAGTGGTCTCACTGGTCTTTACAACCAACAAGTCACAAAGGTGGAACATGTAACAAGGCCAATGGGCAGTTCTGCTGGAATGAATGTTCCCATTGTTCATCATCAAGGTGCAGTGGTGACAACTGAACGTGGAGACAGGTTAGTCACAAAAAATGTACAAGAGGGCAGACGAATCAAAATTGCATGAGGCTATTTTTTTAATTTGCTAGGTATTTGGTCCACAAAGGAAGTGGTTATGGTAAGTCAGGTGGTGAAACAGTTGTTGTTGATGCAAGGCACATGTCTGACAAATGGTCCACAAAAGAGACAAGGAAAGTAGAAGGTCATACCGTTAGTGATTTTGTCAAAACGTCTGGTCCAGATTACAGTATATGGAAAGGGGATCATTGCATTACAAGTGCTAACAAGATGACCAACCTTGGAACAAAGCCATGATTTACATTGTAAACACCTATATATAACTAGATATAAATCAACTAATATTGCTGCTATTATTTTTAGTAGACTAGACTGTGTATAACAAGTTGTATAGTCTAATAGGAGCTCTGTAGTTTTCACTAGTATTTAGATTTATAATAATTATTAGCAATATAGAGTTATAAACTATGTCTACTTGTTCACTTGTTTATTTTTGATGCAATTGTTACTGGCTGATTAATTCCAAGAAGGTCAAAAACGTGAATGTCATTATAAGTGCATGAAACAGCAGTATAGGTGTAATCCCCAATATGAATATCATACTGTTTTGCTGAATCATTGTGATTACTCATGAAGATAAATAAAGATTCTTAGCATGCATACCAGTAGTCTAGACTACTACTTTGAATGTGATTGCTCATAGTAATGGGTGTTTCAAGTAGTTCTTCTGCAGTGGCACACAGTTATGATATTCCAGACCAAAGAGGTCTCACAAATCTATACAATCAACAAGTTGTATCAGTAGAACATATGACCAGACCACTGGATAGTTTTGGTGGTAAAAGTGGATTTTCTCACGAAGGTAACATAGTTACAACTGCTGATCGAGGAAGGTTTGTGTTAGATCTATTTAAGCAGGACTCAGTGCAACACTCATGAGTTTCTTTTATAATAGGTATTTGATCCACAAAGGAGGAAATTATGGTATTTCATATAACACAGTTGTAGTTGATGCAAAACACATGGGAAGTCGTTGGAAACCTGTCAATCCATGTGCTGGACCAGTAAGAGTAGATCCAGCAAAGCCCATCACCGTGAGTGACTTGGTCAAAGAATCAGGTACAGTTTACATACCACTCATTAATGATTGTACACATGGTGCTAAAAGAGTACAGAAATTGGCCAATAAATAAAACTGACGTACATGTACATTAGAAAACTGCTGAACATTGTATAGCTACATCTACTGTACTATTTAGTCTCGCCCTGGCAAGACTATGTACTATTATACTTATTTTGCTTCATTGTTTTGTTATTTTTGCTTTGATAGCTATGCTAATGTTAATTATGCATATGAACAATGCCAAACAACTAAAGACATGTTTCATGAACTGCATAGTATAGTTGATGAAGCCAATTATTATGTTATATTATTGCATATAACAAACAGTGCAGAAAGACAAAAGGACATGCACATTTCAGACTGCTTCATGAACTGCACAGTACAGTTAATGAATTGTACAATCAGTAATGTTTTAATTCCTTCTTGAAGAAGAAGAGGAAAGACGGCTGGAGGCTCTACTACTACTATGAGAACTCGGGCGTCCATAATTCATCATTTCAACTGTCCTATAATCACATGACAATCACATGACAGTCACATGATAATCAGATACCTTGTTGCTCCTCTTGCTCTACTGTATGGATCTGTAAATATAACAAAAATTAATTATAACTACTTTAAATAAATTTTACCATGATGCATCATGTGACTCCACGCTGCAGCTCTAGTTATAAATAAACAGTTATTAATAATAGTTAATTAACTAGTGGAATACCTCATTGGTTCTGGTTTATTAATGGAAGCAAGAAACTGTTGAGTCCTTGATTCCCACGAAGAGGGCACTAGTAAATAATGAAATAGATAAACATGTATACAATTGCATAAATAAATTTATTGCTATGTTGTGTAGAAATTTTGAATCAAAATTGAATTTCTAAAGTTAAATTCGGTCAAAGTCCCTGTACAGGGACTTTGACCAAATTTTGCTAAAAATGACTAAGAGAAAATTCTCCATTTTTATTACATTTTCTGATGCATATACATGTTCTTATGTTGTGTAGCAAGTTTGAGCCGATTCCGATCAAAATTGAATTTTTTATGAATTTTAAAAGTTACTCAAAAATCAGGCCAAAGTCCCTGTACTATAGTACAGGGACTTTGGCCAAATTTCGCCAAAAATGAATAGGAGAGAATTCTCCATTTTTATTACATTTTCTGATGCATATACATGTTCTTATGTTGTGTAGCAAGTTTGAGCCGATTAAAAAAGTTACTCAAAAATCAGGCCAAAGTCCCTGTACTATAGTACAGGGACTTTGGCCAAATTTCGCCAAAAATGACTAGGAGAGAATTCTTCACTTTTATAATTTTTTCTGATACACATACATGTTCTTATGCTATGTTTCAAGTTTGAGCCGATTCCAATCAAGTATAAATTTTCTACAATTTTTTTAAACTCAAAAAAGAGATTTGGTGGTTTCTCCATGGGGTGTGGTCTTACTATGTATATCTCTCCTAGAGTAAAGATTTGGTGCCATCCAGCGACCACCCAATTGAGAGAAGATGGAAGCCGGAGGAGCAGGAGGGGGCATCAAGTAGTTACTACCCAATGGCATCCCTTCCCTCCCTCTCATCAAACTGTGAGAGGACATACCACCTCGTACCATTGACCCTCCTCTTGGAAGATTAGCAGGGCCGCCGGACTAAGAGGGAGAGAGAGAGATGTTTACAAGTGGTTGAAATGAAGGAGATATGTACTCGTGGATTATTCATAAAGTCGTCAACATGCATTGAAGGAGGTCTGCTGGTGTTCTGTTTCCTAGTCCGGAACAAGTCTCGGCCACGTCCCATGACACGCCTCTGCTGTATAGCTAAAATTATAAATTATAATTTTAAATATCTCATAAAATATGGTAATGATTACGTACCTTCTTTCAATCTTCTTTGAGCTTCTGGTCCGCTTATAATAATTTTCTTCTTTCTAAAAATTCACATCTTACACAAGCCACACCCCTTAGTTACCCTTGGTTACCGGTCGTGTTTTACTGGCGATGAAGGAGGCGAGGGTAAGAATCGTTTCTTCAATTCTTCTTGCAAATTAAAACCGGAGCAATTCTCTTTAGCTATTTCCTCGAGATTAGCCGTCACCTAGGTTACTATCAATAACCACACCCACTCATTAACTCACAGTTTCGGGCTCTAAATCTCCTTCGTTGTGAGGAGGTGTGGCCAACCAGAACTCAGGACTATAAAAACAGCAATAGGTAAGTCAATTATGACCAGCTATATAAGGTCAGTGTATACACTGTGTTCTTGGTATACAAGGTATATACTATGCTATTGCTGACCTTAAGGATTCTTCTGATTCTGTTATTCCAGAGCGAGAGATAAACTGGGTCTCAAGTGGCTCCATGTTTGGTAACTCCAAAGTGGGCGGAGCCTTTACAGCCGAGTCCGGAGTGACGTCTCTAAAGGACTCTATTGTTTCAGTGATAGAATCAATAAAATTATCAGCCAATCTCTGTCCATCTTCCTCCTCCTCCTCCTCCTCCTCTCTCTTATTGTAATACTCTTTGAGAGATGACAGTAATTCTTGTAGGAGGTCGGCCTGTCTCTCTTCGTCCCATATGGCACACTTTAGGAGTGGGAGTGGCACAGAGAGAGAGAGGGAGGAGTCAGGAGCTGCCATGTCGCTGAGTGCATCAAGGAACAAAGAGATACACTGGAGGACTTCGGAGGATAGAGGAGATGAACCTCTGAAGAAATTAATAAGTAAGAATATTAATAATTTTTAAAAAATAATAAAACAAACATGTACCTCACTGAGCCTATCAGTCTCTTTAAAAGAGTCTCAAAACGTTTAATGGATGATGGGAGGAGCCTAAATGGGTGTGGCTTGGTTGGCATGACAACCGGAGGAGTAATGCTTACATGTGAAGGAGAGTGAGTCCAGGCATGTGCTGACAGGAGGCAGAGACTATCTTTAGACCAATGGCAATGGTGGATAATGGCTGATCTGGTGAGCCTATGGAGGAATAAACAAACAAACAAACAAATAAACAAATAAACAAACAAATAAAGTAATTAGTAACAGACCCACCTAAATGACTCAATAAGGCCGAGAGTATGTGCTCCAACTGGGAGAGAGAAGGAAGACTGTTGGCCAGCTGTAAGGAGAGGGAACAAGAGGAGGAATATGCACATGCACATAAAGTTCATGATAATTATGAAGTAGCATTGTAAATGTGTACCTGAAGTAGTGACATCCCTTGATCTCCTTTAGCAGGAACTGATAGTGAGATATAAACATTTAATAATGACTGAAGGATAGTCTATAGAGAGAAGTACACAATTTGAAAACAAGTAGCAGCTGCTAAATAAATACTCCACATAATACATGTATAGTACAGAAGGAAAAAGCATAAATAAAATACCGTATAGCTGGTTTATTTCGTGTGGAATTAATTTTCGTGCAGGCTCAAATCCACTAAAATTAATTCCACTAAATTTTATTAAAACCAATTAAATATTAACAAAAATTTAGCAAGGCACTAAAATTAATTCTAATGAAAATTTAAGCAGCAAAAATTTGAGGCCACGAAATAAACCAGCTATACGGTAATATACAGTTACCATGACACTGAGTTTAGCAGGTAGAGAGGTCTCTTTCTTTTGTACAAGAAACAGGAGGAGTGGTATGAACCTACTGTATCCTTCTCCTTCTTCATCAGCTCCATCATCCTCCTCTCCCTCCTCCTTATTGGAAGAGACAAGCGAGAGAAGACAACACTTGAACATTGGCTGACTGGCAAGAACAGCACACATAGTCAAAGTCATGACTAGTGGAGATCTAAATTGTAAAGAAGTGAAGAGGTTAATTTTCTCAAAACACTTTTGCTCATAAATTCATGTTAGGCTTACAAAGTTTCTTTCTTTTCCGTTGAAGTAACTTCAGTTTCCTTAGAACTGTCATCATCCTGTGAATCAATCTTTATCAAAATGTGACTACAGACACTCCTAAATCATCAATAAACCAACCAAATAAGGACATCCATAGTGTACATGTACATGTAAATATAAAATTATTCAAAAGGCAAAATAAAAAATAATAATTGATACGTAATCCTTGATGACTCACTTTGTTACAGAGAGGGCAAGAGAAGGCGCAAGGTCAATTAGCTGAGCACAGAATCTCCTCAGGACCTGCTGTAGTGCTAAACACATTGAGGGCAGGAGAGTTTGAATGAGAGACGAGAGAGAAGAGAAGAGAGGGAGGAGGTGGGACGCCCAAAGGTGACGCAATCTAATCAAGTGCTCAATAGAACTTGACGACAAAGACTAAAAATAAATTAATTACAAATAACCCGTAATATCGTGTTGCTATGGTTACGTCTGATGACTGTAGTGGGAGGGGCAGTGGGAGGAGACTGGAGAATAGCATGAGACCAGAGAGATAGGCCTGAGGCTTAGACATTGTGTATGAAATGAGTTCAGAGATCATTAGGACCCAACAAGAATTATCAGAAGCTAAGAGAGAGAGAGAGGAGGGAGAGAGAGAAAGAAAATGTAAAAAACATGGAGGAAGAAAGAATAGAAGTATAGTACATGTGTGTGTAGTACATTGGACATGTATGTGTGTCTATGTATAATAGAAAAAGAATATTTATTATATTACATGTGTATATCACATTACATTATATCAAAGTCCTAACTCACTGAGAGTGATGGTGTCTTTCTTGTCATCAGTAACTGTCTCTGGTCTTGTGAAACAAACCAAGCAATCAACAATTAGCCCTTGAATCTAAAAAAGGCAAAAATATAATGACAAAATGCATAAATAGCAACATAAAATACAAATAATACCACATAAAACCCATTTGTTCCATTGTCACAAAATCTGTGACAAGCAAAAACCAAAAGCTTTGGCCTGATTTTTGAGTACCTTTAAAAATTCATAAAAAATTCAATTTTGATCGGAATCAGTTCAAACTTTCTACACAACATAAGAACTTGTATATGTATCAGGAAAAATTATAAAAATTAAAAATCTCTCGTTTTCATTTTTGACAAAATTTGGCCAAAATCCCTGTACTGTAGTACATCATTGTTTTACTTAAGGTACAGTACATGCACATGTAAAGATATTAAGCTTAAAAGTCTAACCTCAGGAGCCGACAGCTGGAACACTCCGGAATGAGGAGTGGAATACATGACAGTGTGGAGGGAGAACAGAGAATTGAGTACTCGTGTGTCACGGAACTGAAACGATCCGTTATCAAGTAACTCAGTTAGCAACAAGCGGAGGAGTCTCAGAGAAAATGACATGAGCTGATCCAAAGCTAGTGCATTATTGATACCGATGCTTTGCTTCTGACTCCACAGTGGAGAGACTATATCAGACACTTTCTATAATGAAATGCAATACATATATATTATAAATAATCCCTTTATTATAATTACAATAAATGCATGTACATGTATAAAGTAAATGCATGAGTTCTTTTTCATAATTATTTGTGTGACAATTAACAAGTAAATGCGGTCACATACTTGTATCAAATTAGTTAATATTTCTATTCCACCAGATGAGAACACGCCCACAATAGCCTCTCTCTGCTGCAATGAATAGGACTCTGGGTTAGTGGGTGTGGTCAATAATTAATTAATTACTGGGGGCGGTACCTTTCTCAAAGTTATTGAGATGAGGCGAAGTCATGCAACGATTTAGAATGAGCCTAAGACTAGTGATGATGGGGGCGGTCCCTTGTGTTGGTTTGTTGCAATTAATACGTGACACATTTCTGAATAAAATTAAAACAAAAATAGATATTAAATTTAATGATGTACACGTATATGTACACTGTAGATACACATCTATGTACATGTACATGTACTTTATTAAGTAAATGGTCTATGATCTTACTCTTTGATGACGCCCATTAATGATAAAGCGGGTGTGTCCTCTCCTAAATGCTTCAGTGGGCGTAACCAGCTGTACAATGCTGACATCGTTGGACTTTGATTATCTAATAACAATAATAATAATTAGACCACGCCTATTTTAATTACCTTTAAAGAACTCTGACATTGTCAAGAGTCTACGCGAGTGAGAGGTCAAAAAGTCGCACGATAAATTAGAGGAGCCTACAAGAGATCACATGACAAGTCATGTGACAGTGACATTATACTGATTCCGATACTTTGAAGCAGTTTGAGTATAAGAACAGCTGCATAGCGACTGGATATACTGGATCTCTCTAACTTGGTATCGTGATCTTTATGACCTGAGAGAAGTTAAACTTTAGAAATAAAATCTAAATTTTATTTTAAATTTATGTTAAATTTTAAACTGCATGCACAAGTATTTATGATCACCCTTTGGCTCCACGAAAGGTAACAATATGTTGATATTACAGCCTAGAGCAAGGATATGGGACACAGCACACTTTCCTATTGATAATAATGATCACATGATGGTCACATGATAGTCACATGATGATCACATGATGATCACATGATAGTCACATGATAGTCACTGACCGATAGGAAACAATGTCATGGAGAAGAGAAGGTGAAGCGATGGTAGACACTCGTTTTCCATATCAGACATAGTTTGCTTTGGAGATTGTCTCAGCGAATCAAGAGTTTGTAGAACCTACAGGAAATTTATACATGTACATGTACATGTATACTTGGTGGATTAAATCTTTGAAGTTTTTAATGTATTAAATTTTAAATAAATTCCTTGCAAAATATTTTCATGCTATAAAATACAACAATAGTCCTTTCTTTCCAGCCTACCTGTAAATGGTGGACCAGTAGCATTCCCAGATTGAACGAGCTACAGGAACCACTGGAACCAGGCTGTGTGAAATCCTACACAAATATATATGCTAGTAATTAAAAGAGGCGTGGTTTTGGGTGTGGCTTACTGTCAGCGGTTGCAAGGCATCAAGTGGTACTTCGTTTTCCTATAATTAGAAAAGTACAATAGAGAAAAATCGAAACATAACGGGCATGTACACATACCATTGATTGTATTAAAACTTTAATGAGAGCATTAGTGACCCTGGGACATGAAGAAAGAAATAATAATCCTAAAAATATAAATAAAAAATAAATAAATAAATAAATAAAATAAATAAATAAATAAAAATATAAAATAAATAAATAAAAATATAAATAAATAAATAAAAATATAAATAAATAAAATAAATACAAACCATTTAAAGTGGTCAGTAAGGACAGTAGGTTGTTCCGAATGGCATGATAGACGGAAGCATCTTCAGATAATGAAGGAGCAGTCAATAGGACCAACAAGCACTCCAAAAACTGTCTAAAATAATAGAAACAAATTCTCTTATTATATTTTCTGATACATATCGATGTTCTTGTGCTGTGTAGAAAGTTTGAGCTGATTCCGACTATAACTTTTCAAGTTATGATCATTTTGAAAAATAGGCCAATTTCGAAAAAATACCCTGTACTATAGCCCATGCTTTTTTCCAAAAAATGGCTCCAAAATCACACCCAATTTTTATTATATTTTCTGATATATATTGATGTCCTTATGCTGTGTAGAAAGTTTGAGCTGATTCCGACTATAACTTTTCAAGTTATGATCATTTTGAAAAATAGGCCAATTTCGAAAAAATACCCTGTACTATTAGTAACGCGGTAGCGTTACTAAGTAGGATTCACCCCCAAACAAAATGGCTGCCATGACTTTTGCAGCCTTGCTATACCAGGAAAACGAGCTCCTATGCTTACCAGACTTCTTAGAGGACCTCATCTTGACCAGAGGACTCCATTGGTACTAATAGCGTGGCTCTAAACCTAGTCTAAGAAGAAAACCAAAAATCGGCGAACCGGCCGTTTTGTTCAGCCACCTTTTTTCATCTTCATCATCATCATCAAGAAAGTCCTGGCAATTCAGTTGGCGAGCTGTATCTCGATCTTGACTCGTGCTAGAAGTATAATTCTTACACCACTCTACTCCAACAGTATATGCGCGGATCCA